GCAGTGTGAGAACTGACAACTTGACCCTCCATAAGAAAAATAATAAAAATAACAGATTAAAATGTTTGGAATCAAGGTGTGAGGACCTTTAATATACATTGAAGGAGCTTTGATCATCACAAAATAATAGAATGCTATTATGATCGATGTGTAATGAAGCTCTTTTGTCATCAAGAAAACATAATTCTGCTTAACATGCTTTATACAATGGTAGAGACAGAGAGTGATCCCAAATTGATAAAAGAATATTTGGAGGAAGTAAGGCCTTGAGTGTCTCAATACCTCAGTGGTAGGAATAACACCTTAGTTTGTACTGATGCTTGCTGTGACTTTAAGCTGTTTCACACCAAGGTTTAAGCTAAAGAACCAAGGAGCAACCACATGAATCACTGTCTAAAGTGATCCTCTAAATTCTGAATAACAGTTTTACTCTACTTTCATTATTTTGATAGGTAAATGATATAAATGAAAAATAATCTAAATAATGTAGACATTAATCTGGAATTTACAGTTCTTAGTTAAGAATACCTCCTGAAGACTCAATTATTGAGTGAGGCACATCTTAACTTTACTTCTGGTCCACCAGAGATGGAAAGCAAACTGTCAGAAAGGCCAAATATTCACTGGAGACAGGTAGGGGAGCTAGGAAATGACCACCAACTAGGAAATTTTCCTGGTTAGAAATTAATATTTTTCCTAAAGTCTCTGTTTTGGATATATGATGGATATTTAATTTTATGTTAATCATTTTCATAGTTTCCTATTGAACTATGTTGTCCCAACTATATGACTAGTAGCTGTAGAAAACCATTGCCAGCCTCCAAACAGAAAAGTGCTCTGCTTCAAGCGTGTCTGGAGCTAAAGAGCCCAGGATGAAACAATGCAGAGGAGTGTTTTTCTCAGTTAAGGACTTCAATACAGAACAAAGAAAAAGTAAAACAAAAAAAAATACAGTTTTACTTGCAACACATACTTAAATTGACTAGTTATTTTTCCTTTCTCTCATATTCTTGTTTGACTTGTTATTTTAAAAAGAATTTATTATTTAGTGCTCTTAATACATTTTCAATTATCATACAATAATCATTTATCTACAGGAAAACAATATCAGTTGGAAATCAAGACTAATAGATGGAACTAAAACTATAGGGTTTTAAAACAATGCCGTGTACTAGCCTTCTTTAGGTGCTAGAAAGGTGGGCAGAATGCCCATGTTAAATGTAGTAGGTGACATTTACTCAAACAAAATTGTCATCGGGCATTATGTGCAATGAGAACTTGAGAGTTAGGATCTAAGAATATTCAGTCTGGAAAAAATGCAAATCAATTATCTTAGATGAAAATGCTCTTTCTAAAACTAAATGTTTAAAGGAGGGTATTTCTAGTAGAGACATGGAGCCACACAGGAAGGGAAGCTACCTCTTCATGGTGACTTGCTCACAGAAGAATACACAGCAGTTTTTTCTTTATTATGACCAGGAGGGAGCTGGTATTAGAGCCTGATCAAGGACATGACATGATCCCAGTTTATGAGGTATTGGATTCATTGAAAAGCTCAAAGGAAATGGATTTTCTGGTTCAAAGACAGTGCTATCTTATGGGCCATTGGGGTCTCCTGTCATCTCCTTAGTTATCTTTGAAATTGTAGAAGAATGTGGTACTAAAATATAAAAATCTAAACCCTTAATGCTTCAAAAATGCTAACTTTTGAAAGAAAAAAAATTCACATTTAGGAATATAATATTGTGATAATTGGGAAAATTATGACTATTGCTCTTCTGAGGTCAGTTCGCTTGGAAATAATAGATGGGTCTGTAAATGGCTGGTCTTGGCTCATGTTTCGCAACTTCTTAAATCATCTCAAATAAGCAACAGCTGGCCTCAGTGAGCTCCCTGCCCCCTGAACCTCTTCTAAGTGGCCCCAGGTCCTGCACTAGCAGCAGTCAGCTTAGCTTCACAGCCTAGCTTCACCTGGGAGTGTCTAAGCCCAGCACAAGTAGCAGCCATCTCAGATTGCTTTCTAGCTCATGCAGGCCCTGGCCCTGGGCAGAACACAGGTTGCGGCTGACCTTGGGCTGCACCACCTGGGAAACCTCAAATCCCTCCCATTGATGTCAAAAACAATCAAGGATCAATTACAAGAGGAGGGTATACTCAGCCCACACAAAGCATGCACATCGAGTACCCAGCCTGGGTTATAGGGGAGTCTGTGCCATTGGACCCTATAGAACACCTACTACATTAGGACACACTACCAAGACAGGGAGCCATAGTGACTCTACCTAATATATAAAAACAAGGACAGGGAGACTGCCAAAATGAGGAGACAAAGAAACGTGGCCCAAATGAAAGAATAGATCAAAACTCCAGAAAAAGAGTTAAACAAAATGGAGGTAAGCAATCTATTGGATGCAGAGTTCAAAACACTGGTTATAAAGATGCTCAATGAACTCAGTGAGGACCTTAACAGCAAAAAAAATAAACTAATTAAATAAATAAATAAATCCAGTCAGAAATGAAAGGCACACTAATTAAAATAAAGAACAATTTACAGAGAATCAACAGCAGAGTGGATGAAGCCAAGAATCAGATCAATGGTATGGAACATCAGGAAGCAAAAAACAACCAATCAGAATAGCAAGAAGAAAAAAATTCAAAAAAATGAAGATAGTATAAGCAGCCTGTGGCACAACACCAAGCATTCCAACATTTGCATCATAGGGGTGCCAGAGGTGAAGAGGAAGAGTTAGAAATTGGAAATCTATTTGAAAAAATAGTGAAAGAAAACTTCCTTAATTTGGTGAAGGAAATAGACATGCAAGTCCAGGAAGCATAGCACCATCCAAACAAGGTGGATGTAAAGAGATCCACTCCAAGACACATCATAATAAAAATGCCAGAAGTTAAAGATAAAGAGAGAATGTAAAAGCAGCAAGAGAAAAGCAGTTAGTTACCTACAGGGGAGTTCCCATAAGGCTGTCAGCTGGTTTCTCAAAAGAATCTTTGCAGGCTAGAAGGGATTAGCAAGAAATATTCAAAGTCATGAAAAGCCAGAACCTACAGCCAAAATTGTTCTATCCAGCAAAGCCATCATTTAGCATCAAAGAGCGGATAAAGAGCTTCCAGACAAGGAAAAACTAAAGGAGTTAATCATCACCAAACCATTGTTATATGAAATGTTAAAGGGACTACTTAAGAAAAAGAAGAAGATCAAAACTATGAATAAAATGGTAATAAATACATATCTATCAAAAATTGAATCTATGAAACAAACTAAGCAAATGAGAAGAACAGAGACAGAATCATGGATGTGGAGAGTGTTTTGATAGTTGCCAGATGGAAAGGTGGTTTAAGGGAATTGGTGAAGAGGTGAGGGGATTAAGAAGTACAAATGGGTAATTACAGAGTAGCCATGGAGATGTAAAGTACAGTATAGGAAATGGAGTAGCCAAAGAACTTATACACATGACCCGTGGACATGAACAATGGTGTGGGGATTGCCTGTGGGGGTGGGTGGTGCTGGATAGGGGGGGTAAAGGGAAAAATTGTGACAACTGTAATAGCATAATCAATAAACTATAATTAAGAAAAATAATAGATGGGTCTTCTGATCCACTAGTGTATTGACTACCAATTAAAGCAAAACTGAATGAGCAAAAATCTAAATTACCCGGGGAAAAGCATCATACTGAATATTTAACTAATGTAAGTGATCCTCCCCAAAACCAAATCTTTACTAAAATTTCTAAGGGGTATCCACTTGAAGAGAAGTGCTTCACTTCATTTTTAATGCTGACTTCTGTTGTAACCAAAATCCAAGTCCAAGGAATTGAAGAAAAATGAAAGAAAAGTTGAACAAAGGGCCCATCCAGTGCAGGAATCAAACAATCCAAAGCCTGAACAATCCCCAGTTCTTGTGTTGGTTGTGTAAATTGTGGTAATAATGCCTGGGCTGCAGGAATGGTATTTATTTACAACACCTTGTGAATGTTTATAAAGTTAAAGAAATTTCAATTTTTTTTAAAAGGAGTAACAACAGCAAGCTTGGCGAATCCCTTTGCTTCAACTTTAACCAGGTGTACTAATAAATTACCAAACTAATAAACAAAATGTTTATTACTTATGGTGATTTTATTTAAATAATTAAAAGAAATCAATTGTTGTTCATAATGAAAATAAATCTGGCAATTTGCTTACAATCTCACATTTGAAAATAAGTAAAAATTCTGTGCAACACATAAAGGGAAAGTTTACCATTTTCACTAGAAAAAAACACTGAGGGGCAAAGGATAGTACTAACTGAGAAACACTGAAGTCTCTTAGGTTATGTTTTTAAAATGTGTTCATTCATTCAAAGATTTTAAAATAGAAAAAATAAGTCATCTAATTCTGAAGAAATAAGTTTCTAAATAAGTACATCTCTCATTAATTTAAAATACATTCATCAAAATTATCAGCATGGATGATAAGTGATAAATTAAATGCCTGCAATGCATCATAACAGTAATTTTAATATTCAAATTATTTGATTGGATTAAGCTAAATGTTCTGTCCAGATAAAAGAAATTATGACTGACTAAACCAGTATGACTGCCTGTTTTAATCCCAGATTGCTTCTGGAGCTGCAGGGAGAAAAAAATCTATTGATTATTGAAAATGACACAATTTATAAAGCACAAGTGTCCCCATTTGGTTTCTAATGAGTTACCTAGTGGTTGCTCCAGTTCCTCTGATTTGAAAATCTGTCATGGGACTGCTTGAAGGAAGAAGCAAAAACACAATTTATTTTTGTTTCCAGGATGCTCAGCAGGTAATTAGTTGTAGAGACTGTGGAGTCAAATTTGCATATTCCTCTACTTTCTGAAACAAATTATTACTGTCCACACATACAGGTAGCTCTTTTCCAACTCGCAGTTTTCACTGAGTCAGTTTCATTTGGTGTGGTGGATACGGGGCCCTTTTGTTGCTGTAATGGGTTAGCTGACCAGAGAGCATGGGGCTACTCAACCCCCCCAGCAATGGGCCACGCCCCATGGGAGGGGAGAGGAAAGCTGCACTCCATTCTCTGGAGACCAGAGACACTGTCACTGGATAGTGGAATGCTGCAGCTGTGCTCTGTGCCTGTACGCATCTGGGGCTCCTTCTTTCATGGTGTTGGTTGCACTGACCCTATGTATTAGAAAAAAAACAAAGAAATTTTAGAATTCACATCATTCCCAATCTTTAACAAGGGAGACTTTAATAGTAGTGGTTGAAGAATAGGCCTGAAATAGGCAACACAAAATGAACCCAATCCCAGACCACTCTGTACTCAATTTTTTAAAACTTGAAATAGTTTGGTTGGTTGAGACGACTCAAAGGACTGTGCGTTACCTGACATTGCTCTTTAGTGTTCCCTGTGTATCTCCCCTTTCCCCATCTGGCTCACATGACTTGAGAACAGAGCTCGGGCTTTAATCGCACTTGCATTCCTATCCCCTGGCATGCTGCTCTGCCCCTCTTGTGGTGCTCCGCACTCAACCTGCACCAACTGATGTGGCTGAGAGCAATGAATATGGTTCTATGGGCCAACCACTAATATAACCTGCATTTTAATAGGTTTTCCAGGAGCAGAGAAGGAATGGGCAAAGAGCCAATCTTGATCTTTTATCTCATTCTCTACTCTCTTCCCACCTCCAGTTGCTATGTGCACTTTCACCACAGGCATTTATGAGACAGCTGGACACAATAGGGCATGTGATCACTCATATTAGGAGACAGTTATATGAGTGGCCCTCAGAGAATGGATCAGATTGTTTGCAGTGGAGTGAGCAAAAAGAGAGATAGTTCAATCTATTCCTTAGTACTCAGCTGAGTCCTTCCCTATTTTCTGAATTTAACCATACTCTGGTCAAATCACTATACCATTGGTTAATTTGCAAAATTATATGTGCTTCTAAAGTAGATTACCTTTATGACAAAGAATTATGTTTTTTTAGCTCTTCAAGAAAAAGTAGTATGTTACTATAAAATATTCCATTACTTTCTAATAATGCTACTAATAACAACAAAATCCAAGCAACTTTTGAAAATGCTGAATGTTTTCATTACCTAGGTAACAACACTGGTAACAGTGTATATAATACTCTAATATTTACTGTAATTTTAAGAGTTAATTCTTAAGTGTACTTTAATATCCAGGGTCTTCCTCAAATTAGAAAGTGGAGGTCTACTGAATTGGATTCCATGGCGCTACATGTATGAGCAGTATATTTAGAGTACGTTTTTAAAATAAGAAGCCTATGTTCTCTCTACAAGGAAATCTGATGAGAGAATGGTAGTAAGCATATTTGTGAAGGGCAAATACCAGAAAATATAAGTGCAGCTTAAACACCAGCAGAGGAATTGTTTTTGTTGGCTCAAAGTTTCTCTGTACCTTTCTCAAGGCTATGATACAAAGCATATTCAACCTTGTTCTCTAAGTTGTGAAACAGATCTTTGATATCTGAGACTTAAAACCCAAGAAGCTTAGCATAACACAACTTTTGTTGTGTCAAAGGTATTGTGTCAAAGCATATCTAACTCCATTTCTACCTGAGGGAGATTGAGTTCCAGAACAGCCTGAGGATATGGGTTGATTTTGTGGCCCCTCTCCCAGGGGCGTGGCTGGATTTCCCAGGTGCCCAGCCCTTTAGCTGAGGGTTAGCCCCTGATAAGACCTGAATACTTCCTGATCCCTAGGACAACCCCCTGATCAACTTAAATTTACAGGAACCTTTCCTACTCCGACATGATACACATTTTCTAGGAGCCATTGACAATTGCCCTGGAATTATTCTTACAGCTACTGATATAAACCCAAACCTCAATGACTTCAAAACCCACCCTAACTCAAAATAAGGAGTCAACTCATGGTGTGCTTGCTCAGAGTTTTGAGTGAACACAGTAACCTCACATAAGACAGGAAATCAGTCCAAATATCTTTCTCTAAAACTCAATGGCATTTAAAACAATACAGCCCTGCTGCTCACAAAGCTTATCCAATCTAACTATTGTTTCTGTACTTAAATGAGACCTTTACCATTCAGGAAGGCATTCAGGAAGAAGGTGAAGATAACCACCGACCAGGCTCCTGGGAGGAAAACTGTCCAACATCTGCTGCCTGGCCGTCTGCGAGGGCCGCAGGGTGATTCCCATTGCTGAGACTCTGGTGTTCCTTTACAACCACAAACTACAGACGATAAAAGTGAGGGAGAGAGAGAACATTATATAACTGACAAATTATCTCAACATACGTGAAATCAGAGTTTATGGCTTTCTCGTGTTCATCCTATGGAAGCTGGAAGCTGAAACCTGAAAGGAAGGCCCTGTCAAATTTATTTCTCTGGCTAATGAAAAATTTAGTTTCAATTGGGAAATTTAATTTAAAGCAACCAGCCCCTACCAATACCTTTACTGAGCAATCTATCCTAATTCTAGAATCCCAACTTTTGGGTCAGGTGCTGTTTTCTTTTAAGCAATCCAAGAATCTGTAAGTGTTCTAACCATGGCCAATAGGCCAGAAAAATAGCATCTCATATATGTATGTGCCCCAACTTTTCCAGTGTGTGTGTGTTCAGTTAATAAAATCCATTTGAACATGCTGCCAAGTTCTGAGTAACTGAGGTCATGCATGGGGAGAGATAACTAACAGTGCAACTACTATTTGTAGGGATCCATCCAATGCTGTTTTCATGTTTGAACAGCGCAGGAACCAGAATTCTAAATGGCAGACTCAGAAAACATTTCCCTTTAGTCAATAAAATGATTATTTTTATTATTATTTGTAGTATTCACAATTGATGTGGTACTTGCAATAGGGGCTGACTGGAGTTCACTGGCTCACATTCACACCAAATAAATTAGATATTAAAAGAGATCAATGATAAAAGAAAAGAAAAGAAGGGACCCCAGGCCCCAGGACAAAGGCTATAGTTCGGTGAAGTCCTTCCCTGACGACCAGTGACTCAGAGGATGGGCTGCCCAAGGTTAGGTTTCAGCCGATGAAGCTTGATTGGCTCAGAAATGGGCCCCCCACAGGAAGGGGCCCATGATTCAGAAACACAATGAAGAAAAGGGAATGGATAAAAACCTTGTCCATATTTCTCTTTGAGACAAGCGCGGAAAGGAATGATGAGTGGAGATGATTAGGGAGGATATGTCGATCGTGGAAGAGTGGATTCCCTGAACATGTGTTTTCATTTTCTTATTTTCCCCAACACTAACCACCATCCTGTTTTGCAAAATCAATACACGGCTCACTATCTATGGGCACATGCCTATTATTTATGGCTCAAGTCAAACTTAGCCTCCTGAACTGCAGATTTTCAACCATATGTCTCTTTGTGAGAAGAACATAGGTTCCTGAGTCCTGGGCTGAGATGTGATGGCAGCTGATAGAACCAGGTTTGTTTCTGCTGCTTCTCCTCCTAGTCTGGGTGCTCAGCTCTCTCCTGCTCTCACTGATTCCTGCAGCAGCAGTTAGCATCGGCAACACTTAAGGTGGTGGTGGGGGTGGGGTGGGGGGAGGGATGAGCTCAGGAGCCCCAGTCCACCAGCTCTGAGCCAACATGCTGCTCAGGACAATGGCAAGTGCTTTCGATTTCCTAAAAAACAAGATATACACAGATTGTGTACCTCCTTCTCCCATGATTTAAGTCAGATGAATTAAACTTGCTACCCAAAACCTGAATGAAATACAACGTAGACTGAGAAGTTCAATCTAGAAATGATTTAGAAGTCCACTACGCCTTAAGGCCTCAAAGAACTGAGGACATTCTACAGCTAAGTTCACCCAGAATCACACACTTATGGAAACTCCAGAGACAGAAGGAACCTTAGAGCTCATCTAATTCAAATTCCTTGGTGTCCTAAAGAGGAAGCAGGGGTTAAGTGACCTGCTGAAAATTAGACAGCCAATTGGTGGGAGAGTAAGGCTAGAGTTTGTATTTCTTATTGTATTTCCATACTCAAATTCAAGCATAAAATAAGCATAAGCTGAATACCTATTACAGGCAGGACAGATGATCACTTGTTAGAAGTACAGCTACAGGAAAGCTATTCTCTGGGAATGCACATGGAGGCTGGAAAGTGGGCAAAATGATGTGGGAAGGACCCCAAAATGTGCCTTTGCCCCTTCATAATCTCTCCTTAAGACCCTTTCCCTGCTTTCCCACAAGTTTCAATCCCTTTTGGACCTGCCATATATTTCAGCCTCTTCCACGACATATCCTGCAAATTATACCAATAGCACACAGTGAACCAATCAAGTTATCTCTGACAGGTTTCTGGAAACAAAAATTCCAAGTGTTTACCCTGTCTCAAGTTTGCCCTCTAGTGTTCTAAATTCAATTACTGAAGTGGGTGATCTGAAGCATTTTAACCTGAGCACATACGGATGCCAGATAAAACACAGGGCACCTGGTTAAATTTGTATTTAAATCTACACTTCTGGTATTAGTATCAATCAAACTAGGTGTCTTATATTTTTGATTTGCCAAATCTGGCAACTATTTTGCTGCTGAAGTTCAGGGATTTAAAATGTTTGTGAGAAAAGAAATAGGAAGACAATTAGGAGAACAACCTTGGGTTTTTAAGACATCCATCCGAAGGGGATCCCCTAAAAACTGGGAAAGACTTTCCGCATACACATCAAAATCTAAGTTATAGGAAGAAACTACATAATAGGGAAAAAGACTGTAAGTTTCTTGTGCCAGTAAGTTATGGCACTACTGTCGCCTGTTGGGTTATTTCAGTTTAGGGCAGAGACCCCAACCCCCACCCCCGCACCCACCCAGGACCGCCCCACTCACTGTGGTGCCAGCAACATTAACACCCGCTGGAAGCTATGACAGCTGCCAGTCTCTCTGAACTCAGAAGAACAAGAAAAAAATGCACTGGGATTAATATAAAGCCAATTTCTTTATGTATTTTGGTCACATTACCCAAGGTTGGGGGCAAGAGGCCACCCCAGCCTCTCTGTCTGCAGGCCTGCTAACGCTCGCTTCTCTGTTCGACTCTTCATAAGGGTTTTTTGGATTTTTCGATAGCAGCTTCTGAGTCCTGCAGCAAAACCAAAATGTGAGACAATCTCAAAACCAAGCAAGAGTAGCCCGCTCAGTGGTGGGCAGAGACGACAACTGTTTGCCACTAAAATTTAGGTACTTAAAATGCATGGGAGAGAATAAATATTAAGAAAACTATGTAGAAACACAACTTTGGGTTTTTAAGGCATTATTTTCTGTAAAACTCTCCAAATAATGTTTCATGTTTCTCAACGTTCTGTGACATGTGGAACAGCAGAGTCGGGGTGACGCGGGGAGCTCTGTGTTTATTCATTCGTGGACACATCTACTGAGTGTCAGCCACACCCCAGGCACTGGGGTGTACTGGGGATGTACCAGCCAAACAATAACAAAAAACCCCTCTACCTTAATGAACTTAACAGTGTGGCGCGGAAGAGGGTGGTCTATGTATCACAGCAACCGTGTGAAACTCACTGGATTAGCTCCACTTTACAGTGAAGCCAGTGGGGCTGGAAGGTAGCAGTGACTCGACCAAGGCTCACAGCTCACTGGGGCAGCCCAGGAGCTGGGTCACAATGGAACGACACCCAGGCTCCTTCCCCTGGCTCGCTGCGCTCTGCTCACAGGCCTTACAGGAAGAACACAGAGAGTGGAAGGCCCAAGAGCACAGTGTCTCGTAGTTGCCAAGCCAAGAAATAGGCTAGATCTCCCGCCCCCAAATTCAGTTTTACAAAGACTTATTTGGTTGATAAACATCAGGCACTAAGTCTATATAATGCATGGTGTCATGCTCTAGGGGAGAGGGGGGAGAGGGAGGGAGCTCTAGTGTTAAGGTGATATCCCTGTCCTCAAAAGCAGTGGCCTCTAGAGGGAGAGAGACAGGTGTGTGTAACCCACAGAGCAGCAGCAGAGTGCAGGCAAGAAAGGAAATGTGGTGGTGAAACCGCCAGCCAGCCTCCAGATTCCCACACAGCACTGCTGTCTTGGGTCCACAGCAGCCTAACTCCCTGTAGGAGGGCATCCCCGGGGCCAGTAGGTCTGTCTGCGCACCTGAGCTAGGGCAACCGAAAGGTAGGAGCTGCTGTGAAAACCCTGTCTCAGGAGCTGTGAATTCGATGTGAGGGATGTTTCCAGGAAATGGTGAGGCTAATTCCAGGAAATTGAAGCAAGTGGTTAATGTAATCAGTTTTAAAGTTGCAATGTTATAGTTTGTGACAGAATACTTCCTATTGTTTCAAGAAATTTAGATTTAGGAAGCAATAATATGACAATACTTTAAAAATTATTTCTTTTCACAATCTTTTGAGAGCTACATGAGACAAATAGTGTCAAGCCATCTAGACGAGACAGGCAAGGACTGATACAAAGTAAGAATAACTGACTCTAAAGAAAGTCACTTAGCTTGCCTAACTTAAAAACTCAGTGTTAGAGCTGTATTTGTTTTAATTTTGACTTTATCAGTATCGATACAGCTACAGTACAAATGCAGTCAAGAACATAGCTGAAAATTTGTGGTGGGGTAAGTAGCCTCACTGGCCAGAAGCTTGGTAAAAACCCATAGGTAATTTGGCATAGGTAATATGGCTTGGTAAGTAACCATAGATTTGTTCAGAAAAAACTTCACAACTGTGGATGCATTTCAGTCAAAAAAGAGAGAAAGAGTTCAGATGAGTTTTCTTTTTTTTTAAATCCTCACCCAAGGGCATTATTTCATTGGGGGGAGAGAGAGAGAGAGGGGGAGAGAGGTTGGTTGCTTTCTCCTAAATGCTCAGACTGGGGACTGAACCTGCAACCTGGGCATGTGCCCTGACCAAAATTGAACCTTCAGCCCTTGGGTCTATAGGACGACACTCCAACCAACTGAGCCACACCAGCCAGAGCTGATGAGTGTTCTTTTTAAAAAACTAGTCCTTATCACTTTTAATTCTAGGTATACAGGGATCAGAGGCTAAGGACATTCTTATTTGTGTAAAGTCTATGGTCGTCTTTCAGCTGAGCTGCTTTTTGAATTCTAAGTAAGAAAAGCCAGCAATCTACCATTGGCTCTCAATACAGAGCTCTGAAGAACATTGACAGAACATAAAATATGTGCACTATGCCACAGCAGAGTAAGAAAAAATATTTAATAATTATGGCACACATAAACTTAAGTTTCTCGCTTCCAATTTTTTCTACACTATTATTTGCCAAGCATCTACTTTTCTTTTGTCATTCTGTCCAATGGGATGAGGCACTGATTAGTCAATGTTCTTTCCACAAACATCTAAGATACTGGTCGAATACTATCCTACAAAGTCCCATGGTTACTGATGTACCACTGAACTAAAATTTCAAGTTGTGCCTGAGAATCTTATGTCTCAAGATTGAAAACAGTTTGGAACATGTGACTCTTTGGGAGAAGGTTACATTTCATAGAAAATCATAATAATAACAGACAGGTCCTAAATGCCAGAGCTACACTAAATTCTTCACTTAGATTCACTCTGTTTCACAATGACTCTGAAGTACTATTTTTGTTCCCACGTTATAGCAAAGGAAATTATTGAAGACAAAGGTTTGATGGCATGTATTTAAACATGAACTAGGAATTGAACCTGTGTGATCTATTCTAGAGCCCATGCTTTTAACCATTATACTGGGACATAGCAGGACCCCGGACAAGCATGTCTCAAACGCTATTTTGAATTCTCCGTAATGCAAGACAGCCAACACCTGAGTGTTCATGTGGCACCAGCAAGTGTGGTTGGACTTGTATCAGCAGATAGTGGGGGGGGGGAGTTCTGTGCACCCCAGAAAACTAGGACCATTTCAGTTAAGTGGGTCTGAGGCTTTTGGACCATAAAATGATGAGATTGAATCAGATAATTCAATAAAGTTCCTTCTGCCACAAAGCGTTACAACTCACTGATTTCGTACAGCACAAACTATAACAGAACATAAAATGTTCCTCAGTATTAAGGGCAGTGGAGGATGCTGTCCTACTTTTTCAGAAAATGGAAAATCAGCAGTATAATGTTAATTCATTCACCCTAATGTAGTATCAGTTTTTAAAATCCTCACCAGAGGATATTTTTTACTGATTTAAAGAGAGGGAGAGAGAATGAGAGAGAATTACCAATGTGAGAAAGAAACATTGATCGGTTGCCTCTAGTACACACCCTGACCAGGAATAGAACCCACAACCTTTTGGTATAAGGGACGGTGCTTCAATCCACTGAGGAACCCAACCAGGACTAGTGGCAATTTTTAAAAAGTAAATATACAAATATTATTTCACAGTTTTTAACTTTTAAGTTGAAATTATTATTTTTTAAAGATTTTATTTATTTATTGTTAGAGAGGGGAAGGGAGGGAGAAAAAGAGGAAGAGAAACATCAATGTGTGGTTGCCTCTCATGCACCCCCCAACTGAGGACCTGGCCCATAACCCAGGCATGTGCCCTGACTGGGAATGGAACTGGAGACCCTTTTGTTCACAGGCTGGTGCTCAACCCAGTGAGTCATACCAGCCAGGGCAATACTGGTTTTCTTGAACTAAAGTTAATACTTTGTGGCAAATCCACTCAATGAAAGGTAGCTATGAAAAAAATGACCGTGATGCGGGCTGTGGGGTGCAGTGGAGGGGAGGAAAGGAGGTACAAGAAAAAAGTGGAAGACAAAAATTCATCATTAAATGAACTATACAGGTGTGTGGACAAGTACTGGAATGGACAAGGAAAAGTAAAACCACTGTTACTTTAGAGCAGGGAAATCCTGCAGCACTCGTTTTCTGTTATTGTTACTCCACTGTTGAAATGTACTATAGTAAAGCATAGCTCTCTAGGAGGTAGGAGTTCTCCTGGGGTGGGGGGCTTGTTAGAGGTGCCAATGGGAAGAAGCATCACCTGTAGTAGTGAGCACCCCACAGCATCAGGAGCAGCAGCAGGACGAGCGCCACCACGCAGACAGCCACCACGGTGATGTTCCGCTGCCGCCGCCCCTGGTCAGCATGGCGCAGCTCCCACCACCTCAGGTCTTGGTGCTGACATCGCTCCCCCACGTAGCCAACAATGCAGCTGTGGCGGCACACAAACAGAGGTCAGCTGTCAGCCTGGTTATATTTCTCAGATGAAATATTCAGCTGTCTTTCAATCTCTACATGTCCAGACCCAGCTTTTTGGAAGCACGTGGGAAATCCATCAGGGCTCAGCTGGAAGCACCCTGCTTTACTAGCTGATGCTGCATGGACCTTGCCTACAGTCTGTTTGCACACTGCCTCATCGAGGCATTGCAGAACATTGATTAAAGATCAATTACTCTTAGGATAAAATCCTGAGGAGTTACCTTTAAGACCAACACAAAGCAACTTTGCCCTAAGAGCCAAGAGAGTTTTTGAACAAATGTTTGGCCAGAATGCAATGAAATCTAAATTCTAAGGAAAGGAAGAGTTTGAAAGCAGAGTCCCTTACTTGAAGGCAGGCTCTACAATAATGTGAGTGAGAAAGCACTGCCTAGCCTATGGAGGAAACTTAAAAAAAAAAATCACCACAGGCTTAAGAGACAAGCTCTCAGTGGCAACACCCAAGCACGTCCCTACTTTCTTCAAGGGAGGGGGGGTGGGGGGAACTAAATGGAGGAGTAAAAGAGGCATTCGCCAACAAACATCCTGCTATGTCAGTAGTAAAATTGTTACTAGAGTTACCAACAGCAGCCAACAAACGTTGTGAACCTTCCGATGAAAGTAAATGAAACAATGCTGCCATCTACTGGGAATGTATGCTTCGGAAACTATTGGGATCTCGGGTAGTGTAGTTTCTCATTCTCCATGACAGCGTACATTTTAAAAATATTCTGTTAAATATTTTGTGATGCTCGGTTGTTAGGAATTTCATCCCCCGACCCTGGACCAACTGTCCATCTATTCGTGCTGCCACTGTCTTCCAAAAGGACACGAAGGAATGAATACATAGAGAACTGACACCAGACCCCGTGTTGGGAAGGGACAACAGGGAAAAAGTATGAGTCGAAGCCTCAGAGGATCTAGAGTCTGTCCTAGTTCTACCTTGAGTTGGTCATAGGAGCTTTGGAGAATCACTTTCAGAGAGTAGGGAAAGGACCTAGCATCTGTTAAGCACCTCATGTGTTTGACACTGTGCTGGGCACTTCTACTTTATTCTTGATGGCACACTCCCATTTTATAGATAAGGAAAGTGAGGCTCGGATGACGGGCTTATGTAATTTGTGCCAGGTTGCTCAGCTAGTGAATAGCAGGTGCCATTCAAATGGTTCTCTGATTTCAAAGACTATGTTTTTCCTACTACACTGGCCTGCTTCCAAAAAGGGTTTTAAGCAGCATGTACTTCTGAAAGCTATCCCTCTAGAACTGACCAGGCAAGAGATGGCAGGATGTGAGTTGCAGGAAGCATAAAGGACTATCAAGCGATTCCTGGCTTTCCTAGATACTATTTTAATTCAAGTTATCTTTGGTTATAGACATTTACAATCAATGGCTGACACACACTTTTAAAAGGTTGATATTAAATAGGCCATGCCTCAAATTTTCTCAGAGATTTTAGGGTTTCGAGGAATGGAGGCCACAGCAGGCTGCAACACCTGAGCCTCTGTGAGCCTGAAGCCCGGAACCATCCGTCAGCATCTCACGAGTTCACAAGTGTGGGCCACACACCACCATTTCTTTGGGTTATGGAGTTCTTCTTGTAAACCAAACAAAAGATTCCTTGGCCAAATACGTTTCATTTGCTTTGGTCAAGTGATTTCAAGAAATTCTAGACTAAATAAAGGTCAACAGGACTTTTTCACACATTGTGGTGCATCATGATCAAGAATTGAAGGCAAGAGTATGCTGTGTTTTTCAAAATGATTTGATCACATGACACGTTATTTTATGAAACATTTCACAGTGCCAATGCTAGGGGATCCTGGTCTGAAGAAGACCTGCCCGGAAGGGTGCGTGCTGGTTCAAAGCCAGACCAGAGTCAGCGAGGACCTCTCTGAGCTCAGGAGGTTTGGAGTCTTCTGAGAATCTCCAGTCCGGGGAACCTCTGAGGTAGCCCATTGGCATGGAGACCCCAGTTTTCCCATTCCTGCATTCCTAGGCAGCCAGGGGCCCCTGTTTTCCAGGCAAAGAAAGAAGAGTTCCCTTTCTATGCCTGTTCAAAGCATTAGGAGCACTGTGTGGAGTGCTCCCTGTGAACTGTTTCTAATGGAAGTCGGACGGGTAAGCTCCCTATAGATGCGTTTTTATGGAATTAAAAAAATACAAGGTGAGGTCATCCGGCAGGAAGAGGGAAGGGTTGAATGTTTGACTAAACCACGGTTATATTAAATTCAGACTTCAAAAACAAAGTCCTGATCCAAATTAATGGGAACTTGTTATATTTTCAATATTGCTTTTGATTAAAGGTCCTTCAATTTGAGTGTTATCTCCAGTTAGTCATTTTGTAACAACTCATATTTAAAATATTACCAGAGGAATATGATATTTTCATCAGGATTTAATGACAGAAAGAAAAGTAATGTGCTAGAGTTTCTAAACCGTTTAATTAATTGACACCACCAGGTCCAAATGGAAATATCATAGTAATTGCAGTACCTAACCCAGCAGTGCCATTCATATTGTCGGAAAGTCTTTTATAAAAACAAAAGATGACCTAATAAACTGGGACATGTGTTTTCATTATTTCATTATTTGGGAGAATAAGAAACTATGAATAGGTAAAAACAAGTTGATTCTTATTCTCAAAATCAAGAATACTTGATTTATCTTAGGTGAGAAAATTATAGCATGTAAATATGAATATGAAAGCAGATTTTTATTGGAACTGAGTCATTTTTGCTAATATCCATGAGCATTTTTCATTACTTTTGTCAGGCTGATATGATTCATAATACGAGGTCATATACTTTGTCACAGAACATAACTTAATTCTAATAATTTAGACTACATTTCTGCTGATAAATAAGAAAAACCTTTAAATTTACAGCATTTATTTGTGAAATACAGAACATCGTATCACTCTTTCCTTGGACACAGAGAAAATTATCAGTGAGTCGGGCGTCTAGCATTAGGAGGCCTATTTATTGTTGCATATCTATGAATTCCCTCACATTGCCTTTGAAATGTGAAAACAATGAAAAGTGAAACTGATGCAGAGCTAGACATTGTGAGTGTCCCTCCGTGAAAGGCTCCGGGAGAAGGTTCTCTGAGTGAGTGTGGCAGGAGCACCTCATGGTTTCGGGGTTCCAGCTTAACACTGCCCCACGATGACACTGTGAAGTCACCGTGGGGACAAAAAGGGAGCACAAAGCAGTGGTGGCTGCATCTGCAGTTGTCACCAAACAACAAAGGTTAAACATCAACTGTTAGGAATTTTTTTTAAAAAAAGGTATATATATATGTGTTTTGAGAAAAGAAGGCAAAAAGTCCAGTGTGAAAACATGCAACACTTTTGTAAATTCAGACACATATCATGGATGCTGTCCATGTATTTGGCAGAAAATCAAAGTTTTAAGGAATTCCCTCACAAACCTAAGCTTTTAACCAGGATGAGAAATTTAATTACCAGACTGCATCATTAGTAACATCAAGCTATTTAAGTCAAAGGTAAAATCACCAATTCCTTAAGTGTGTATTTAGCACTGGCAGCTGTGGGGTGGAGGGGTGGGGAGAGGAAGGGTGAGATGTGATATGCAGGGAGAGTGCAGCACACACACAATTTATACAATTTATACAATTTACACATGCTTGTTTATATATTTTTCCCTAAGGAAAAACCTAATTATAGAAAATATTCCTTAACATAAATTTTGCAAATGAGCTGAAAGTTGCGGGTTGCAGTATCACAGCTCTGTGCCTCGGGAAGACAGCTGGACTTACTTGCATGCGTAGCTGTCCACGGATTCAATGTACATACACACACCGCCGTGGAGGCAGTACCCCACATGCGACGGGGGGCATTCTGAGTAAGTATTTCTCACAGAAAAGTGGCCGTCCTCCCTGGGATGAGGCGGTGGAGTCGAGTCTAGAAGAATCAAAGGTGGTACTTTTATTTTCTGAAGCAATCAGTGTCTTCCAGGTGCAGGTATCCCCCAGCTTTTCAGAAGTTTGCTTTACTCCACTTCACATTATGAAAGACATACATTAGTGCACTGTTTTGCTAACCTAAAGAAATCCGAAGAGGATTTTTGTTTTAATAAAAAAGAGGCAAAAGTGAAAACAGCGTTCAGCATTTGCTTTGCATGAGCTCCTAGCAACCCAGCGCCCCTAGCAGCTGCCCCAGCAGCTCCTTCCCCAGGAACCACACTGAGCATCTCAGCACGGAGCTGGTATAGCTTTGGGCTCTGTGAGCATCAGCGCTTCATCTCCATTCGTTTTGTGCACCTGTTAGCAAGATGTGTTCTAAGGCATCTTAAGAGCTCATGAGGGCATTAACCCTTGGTATAAAACTGGACACGACTAAGAGTATGAATTGATAGGTTATTTGGGTGGGTCTAGGAATGCTCAAAAATTTTTTCCATATAAATTAATGGTAGTAATTGATTTTTCAGTTTACTTCATTTCAGCTTTCAGATAGCAGGGGAAACCTGTGTCAGTATCAGGAACTAGTGGCTGTGAACACTTTGTGATCTCGTGTCTCCTGGTGACAATGACAGTAGAACTATCAAAGCGACCACAGTTTCACTTTCCTAACCAGACTTTGTGGCATTCACCATGAAGAGAGCCATTCTTTCTGCAGGTTCAGTATTTTTTGACATAAAGCATATAGGAGGCAAAGAAGAGAATGATCAATCCTAAGACATCAAATGCATGCAGGGTCACTGATCTCATTATAAAAGCACATCTGTCATCCACAAACACACACTGTATGAAATGACAGCTGGCTTTAAGAGGGTCTCACTGAGCTGCAGTATCTTGTTATGACTTATAAACCACCCACCAATACACAGCCCTTTACCCCACTATCCTGGGAGTCTCAAAAATTTCTCCCACACAAGGATTTCTTCTAAAAACTATTTAAGTTTCAGGGGAAACCTCAAAGACAAGACTGGTCATGTTGAGAGACAGGAAATGTTACCATACATAGGAAATGCCAAAGTGGCAAAGTCCCTTTCACTGAATGGTTCACCAAACCGTGAAAGGAAAACATTAGGATGTGTAGCTGACTGTGTAAATATTAGCAGTCTTCCAATACCTTTAAGAAGAACAAATTACTTGGGGAAAAAAGGCCCAAGCAAGCACAGAATGATCCTTTATTAGGAGACTTTCTGCTTGTACAGCCGAGGGGGATAAAGAGCTGGCAGGGGAAAGGGCCCTGATCCTGGTGTCCAGGCCTGGGGAGCCAGTCCCACTGGGCTGTGGGTGGTGAGAAGAGACTGGGCTCTGGGGAGAGGGTCCAGAAAGCAGGAGAAGACCACTGCAAATATTTTTAAAAGAAAGAAAAAAAGATCTGGAATCCTAATTCAGATGATAAAAAATAGTGACTTTTTAAAGTAATATTTTTAAATTCCTGAAAGTGATTTAAAATGCTGAAAGTCCAGGCATCCTCCCCAACCTGCCTGACCCTGCAGTTTTCCAGCAGCCGAGAAACTGACATCACAAATCAGCACGTTAGCCACATGGTTAAAGAGAACCCCCATGTTGCCACTTTTATTGAACTGTGGGTAATAAAAACAGATTTATTTCAGATGCTATCAAATTAAAAAAAAAAAAAAGACCATTTCACATTCTCAAATCCAGCACCAACCTAATCAGGAAAGCAAACCCACCAGCCTGATTAAAACAAATGATTTCTTTGCTTTTCTTTCTTTTGGCGGGGGGGCGGGGGGGGGGGTTCTAGTTGTTTTTTTTTTACAAACGGGAAGGGAAGGAGAAAGAGAGGGAGAGAAACATCAGTGTGCCGTTGTCTCTCATGCACCCCCTACTGGGGACCTGGCCCAAAACCCAGGCATATGCTGTGACTGGGAATCGAACCGGCAACCCTTTGGTTCACAAGCCAGTGCTTACTCCACTGAGCCACACTAGCCAGGGTGTAAACCAAATGATTTCTAAAATCTCAAATGCAAATACACTTGGGTACAGAATTTTCCAGAATCGAGTTCCTCATTTTGGATCTAGATCTCCCACCAACCTACCAGGGCAATTCCATCCAGGTTCAGACAGGCTGCTGGCACACATGCAGGTGTAGTTTCCCTCTGTATTTGTACAGGTGGTATTTTCCCCACAGGTGTGCACGCCCAGTTGGCACTCATCAATGTCTGCCAGAAAAAAAGGGAGTAGGGAAGAAAAAAGTGAGGTGGAGAGGAAAAAGAAGGTCATACAATTGGAACACCCAACATTCTAGAAGGGGAGCATTTTGACTTCTGTTATGCTGCATGTTCTCAGAACTCTACACATTTCTAGATTCAAAAATTTTATCATGAATGTTGGTGAGAGTAATGAACTGTGTTACATGGCTGCGTGCTCATTCATGTAAAGTCCTGACATAAGGCTGGGGGTCTTCCTACTGTTTGAAAGGAAAGGAAACTCCCAATACCAGTAGCTCAATGGGAAAGATGGAGATTGGTAAGCAACCTCTAGGCAAATATTTAGAAGTTCAGATCATACCAAATAAAACATTATTGTCTTTTTAACATAAATATAAACTTAACATAAATATAAACTAAATCATCACTTTCTTTCCAAACTATACACCTTTTTCTTTCTCAGTTACCACCACTCTAACATTTAGGTCCCTCCTCTCTTCTGATCTTACATTACTATAAGAACAGCCTTCCTTCATTCGCTGTGTCCCACTCTCCTGCACTCCACTCCTGAACACCAGTGCCAGACTAGTCTTCCCGAACTGCGGTTCTCATCACTGTACCACTTGACTCAAATGCTGCTAGTGCTCTCTGCTGCCAAGAGCTTCCCCGCCTAGCACAGCAGCCAATGGCCATGGGTGAGCATTGAGCACCAGAACCACAGCTAGTCCACACTGTGCTGGAAGTGTAGAACACATGCTCAATGGTGAAGACTTAGTACCAAAATAAGAATGTAAATTTACCTCAATAATTTTATATTGATTACATTTTAAAATGTTAATGTTTTTGATATATTAGAATAAATAAAATATATTTAAGATTAATTTCACCTGTGTCTTTTTACTTTTTCTAATGTGGCTACTAGAACATTTTAAATTATATATGTGATGACTGACATTACATTTTTATTGGCAATGCTGGTCTAAAAAAGTAAAACCCCAATGACTAACCCTCAGATTCTAGTCTTCCATGAATGTAGCCCAACTCACCTACTATAGACTGAATTTTATCCCACCAAATTCATATGTTGAATCCCTGACCCCCCAATGTGACTATATTTGGAGAAAGGGCCTGTAACGAAGTAATTAAGGTTAAATTAGGTCATAAGAATGGGATCCTGACCCAATAGGTCATTATAAGAAGAAACATCAGATTCCCTCCCCTCTTTTTCTTTCTCCTCCTCCTCCTTCTTCTTCTTTGCCCAACCCCCCCCCCCAGCCACCAAGAAGAAACAATGTATGTATGCAGCGAGAAGGCAGCTGTTTGTAAGCCAAAGAGAGTCCTCACCCAGAACTGAATAAGGCAGCACTTTGATGTGGAACACCTAGCCTCCAGAACTATGAGAAAATAAATGACTTGTTTAGGCCACCCAGTCTGTATAGCACAAGGACACCACCTTAACAGCCTCAGTTTCTGCTTTCTCTCATATACGACCTATATGGGTCGTATAGTGCTCAATTAAGTTTTCTATCCCTTCAAATTTCTGCCTTATAAAAATCTCCTCATGCCCCAGGTCCACCCAAAATAATGCTTCCTCCAAGAAGTCTTTCCCAAAACCTCAAACAGATATTTCTTCCAGTTCTGAACTTCCACTGTAGTTTTCACTTCTCTTATGATGCATAACCTTCTTCACCAATGATCACAGCTATATGTATTTCTTTAAGATCACACTCTCCTTGCAGGTAAGGACTGGCTTCATCAGCTTGATATTCCTCACAGTTCCTAGTACTGTGTCTTTGTACTAACAGCAGCCAATCAAATCTCTATCCCATTGCATTGCCATCCCGAATGGCTCAAACTGAATCTTTTTTAAAAGGTTGATTTACTGTTATTATATCTGTGAACTATCACCTTGGGAGTGAGACAGAACTTTTGCAAAAAGTAAAAACAAAGATACACTCTTGGCAAAGAGACACAAGTACTTTTTACAATAAGAATGACAACAACACTTCTATACAGAAGTGTATCTGTATCTCTCTATCTCTATGTATCATATATGTGAGTAATGGAGAGGAAAGGAAGGAGAGAAGGGGAAGAGGAGAGGAAGGGGGAGAGGACAGGAATGAGCTCACTGCTGCTATCGCGGCTGGGCCGTGACACCCTGCGGTGTTTTTGATACTGGAAAGGAACAGAGTGAAAATCCAGAGTCCAAGAAAGTATTCCTTCCTTTCTCTTCAAAGTAAATTAAATATAAAGCCTATTTGTCTAAATTATCCATGAGCCTGCTTAATTAGAGCAGTGACGTTTTCCTGACTAACAGCCAAATATGTGCTTAAAATAGCGTTTACAGATTTCTGTGGACGGCACAACACTCATCTCCTGAAGGTCTGATTTAAACCAACCAGATCCAGAAAACTGACTGAATTTTCATCTTTAACTTCAACATATAGGAGAAAGCAGTACCATAGCTTCTTATCAGGGTATCTGCCCTTCACTGTGAAAGATTTTTGTTTTCAGGAAGAAAAGCAAATACTCAAAGAGACAATTTAAAGCCCCGTAAAACTTCAGACAACCACTTCACTGGGCTATGACGGCTTTGGGCAGGTCTTTGCTTGCTTGGTGATGCCACACTGCTGACACCTGGACTGGGACAAGACATTCACTAAGTGAACTCCCCCCAAAGAGCCACTCCCAGACCTTGGCAGAGGATGGTGGTTATGAAAGAGGTCTTAATCATTCTCTATTTGTATGCAAGTGTCAGGAGTTGGAGTCTTTCCTCTGCTGAATTTATTGAGAGCCCCTGCGGAGCCTTTGCACAGAACCACACCTCTCTTTCACACACACACACACACACACACACAGTTCACCACTGTTCAACTGCCAAATTTGGTGATGAAAAAAATCTTCAATTCCCCTCATGATGGCTCAGAGTATGGAGTATTGATGAGGTGCTGGTGTTATTCAAACCTAGGGAAAAGAACCAGAAAGGCAGAGGGGCAACTTAGCTCTACAGCGTGTTTCTGCTGACTAGTGTGAGAACACAAGGGCACAAACTTGACTATGTACCAGGAACTGAAATATGTCAGTTTGAACAGGTCACACAATTCCTCTTTCAGCTTTAACATGCATGTCACCCCAGTTATATCCTGTTTTTTCTTGGCCCACCACACCCAGAGCATCTTGTGATTCTCTAAGGCCTGCCTCCACCCACTTGCCTCAGCACACACACTCTTACCAAGACAGTGAGTCCCATTTCCCTGGTAGCCTTCTGAGCACTGGCACACATAGCCACCTTCAGTATTGATGCACTTGGAGGAAGGGTGTGAGCAAGCTGGTATACCCATCTCACATTCATCTATATCTGTTGGGAAATGAGGAACTAGTGAAATATATTGGCAACTCTGGAATAAATGAGCATACTAGGAAAAAATAAGTATAATCTTACACACATTCATTTGGCTGTTTACAGAGACTGCAAATCCGATGCAAATCCATAAAGTTCATATCTTAATCAATTTTTACAGATTTCTCACATTTGTTTAGCCAAGTATGTGTAAGTAAATCACTTTGTGCATAGCTTCAGACCATTAAATCCTGAGATTTTTACAGTAATTGCTAACTTTTTTGAGGCTATTGATATAAAATAGAAGGCTATCCACCTCAATCTATTTATTAAACTAAAACTTATGACCTAAGTTTTGAGGAGAAAAAATGGTTGTGTTTTTATTGGAAGTGTTAAATTCATAAATTTGGCTTGAACTCAATTCATGTTTCTGAAATGAATTGTAAATTCTTCTCCTGAATATCAACTGCATATACCTCATAACTTTAACACAAACTCAGTGTAATGTAACAACATATTATATGTTTCATATTTTCTACACATGCTATCCATTATTTTTTTAGCTGATACCAAACAATTTATTCAATCCTGCTGATCACATAAGTCTTTCTGGAGATTTGAGACCCATACAATCTCAGTGTTTCTGATTCACTCTTTTTTACAGTTATGCTCATTGGCCTTTGCCCTTACCAGAACATACTCTTCCATCCCCAGCAAATCCTCTCAAACACTGACACGTGGCGACCTCTCCCTCTGACACACATCGAGAGTGTGCACCACATCCCATGGGACCGCAGTCATCTTCATCTGCAACAGCAAGAACCCCATCAGGTTATTTCCAGACCTCAGAGGCAAAAATAGGCTTTAATGTTCTGGGTTCTACAGAACATTCCAGCACGTCCTTTTCCAAGTTCTGCGACAAGTTAACCCTCAAACAGAAACACTGTTGACCTGGAAGTTATGTCCATATGAAAGGATCTGTGAGCCATATGTTTCCATTTACATGCTCTCAACAAATCTTTAGTCTTAACTATTTGGTGTTCAAACAGCCCTGTGTGAACTTAATGTACAATTTTTAAAAGCATCTAAAATTTGATTCATAAAATTGCTTGGAGTAAATGGATTCAAATTTCAGAAGGTTTATTGCTTATTTGAGCATTCCCAACCATTATGACATACCAAAGGGTCGGTATGTTCTTAGTCCTCAAAGCCACACAGAGTAATACACAGCAAGTAGCTTTGTGTACTAACATGGCAAAGAGATTCAATCATAGAGATTTATTGTCAATTTACTAAAATTATGTTTTATGTATCATAGAATATGTATGTCACAATGTATGTTTATTATCAAGATTTATGCAGTGACTTGCAAACCTCAAGGCACTTTTACAAAGTCATGAACCATATAAAGTAAATGCTGTAAATGGATCAATTCATTTCATACTCCATTGAAATGCACATGCCTCAGGGGACAGAGTTGCATGCTGAGCCATAAATATGAGCGAGATTTTTTTTCCCCTTGAACTACTTATACATATAATCATCCTCTAAACGCCTCCTCCCTTTCAGAGTTGGGGAGATTTGACATACCACAGGAGGATATAATCTGTCATCTGTCTACTCACTAGTAATGTTGCTCATCTGAGCATAGAAGAGGTCAAACTTGCCCATAAATTTAAAGAAAGTTAAGTGATCAAAGTAGGATTTGATGCCATGTGAATGCAGACATTGGGTAATTGTGTTTGATTTGCTTAGCTATTTGAGTAAGATTTCTCTTGTGGGAAAACATGCCTTTCAGGCTTCCTTGGTAATGTGTCACTCATGACTCTTAAAGATGGATAACTTCAGGCTAAATTAATTACCCATTTGATTTGGCTTTTATTTGGAGGACTAGCTTCCAAATCACAAAGCTGTTCAGAGTGTGTGGTGGACAGTGTCCAATTACACAAGACATTTTAAATCACTTGCACAATTATCTTAAATTAGAATATGATTCAGGATTTATTTGGTAACTTGCAAACCCTAAGGCTGCTTTGCATAATGGAAAGCAATGGATGTGCAGTTGTTGGAGGGAAGGACTATAGCCAAAGTCCTTTCTGCCACAAACTAGCTCTGGAAGGAAGGAATTCCCAGGCTCTACACGCCTCTTCTCTAAAACACAGGTGATGATTTCTGCCCAGTCTACTTCACATGCTTGTTGAAAGAACTTGAAAAAAAAAAGAGATTAAAAAATTCCTTTGAGGATTATAAAATATTATGCCTATCTAAATAAGGATGATAAAGAAGAATGCTGTGACAGCCTGAATCAGAATTAGCCTATCAGACTAGAAAACTACATTTTGGGGCCTGTTCATAAAATTAATGATTTTATTCAAAAGTATCTAATACCTGCCAGACCAAAAATACAGTGGTGGAGAATACAGACAGGGCTTTGTTTTCTTGTATTGAAGAACAACTATGATAAACACTATTTATGAAACAATACCTATTATAGTTTGTGAAGTAGCTCTCACCTCATCTGGACAGGACACTAGAAAGGTCCTTCTGAGTAAGAATATATAAAGTTGAAATCTGAAGGGTTAGCAGGATTTGGAGGGTTAGGAAGAGCACTGTGGGCCAAGCACACAACAACGCCTGCATGTTACAGGTAAGGTCAGGGTAACTGAAGCAGGTCACAGAAAGCTGAGGACAGAAGGGCACATGTTTAGGTTGGTGAAGTGTGTAAGGGCTAGTCCATCTAGGGTCCAACAGGCCACATTAAGAAGTTTAAATTTTATTTATGAATTTGAATAACTCATGATTTTAGTAAATTTGACAATAAAACTTTTTTAAAGTATATTTTATTGATTATGCTATTATAATTGTCCTAATTTTTCCCTCTTTGTCCCCCTCCACTTAGTACCCTGCTTCCCTCCAATAATCCCCCTTTCAGTTCATGTCCATGGGTCATGCATATAAGTTCTTTGGCTTCTCCATTTCCCATACTATTTATTCTTAACCTTCCCCTGTCTATTTTGTACCTATCAATTATGTTTCTTAATCCATGCACCTTTTCTCCTGTACTCCCTATTCCCCCTCCTAGCTGATAACCCTCCAAATGATCTCAATATCTACGATTCTGTTCCTGTTCTGGTTGTTTGTTTAGTTGTTGTTGTTGTTGTTGTTGTTTTTCAGATTCAGTTGTTGATAGTTGGGAATTTGTTGCCTTTTTAATGTTCATGGTTTTGGTCTTCTTATTTTTCTTAGATAAGTCCAACATTTCATGTAATAATGGCTTGGTGATGATGAACTTTAGCTTGACCTTGTCTGGGAAATACTTTATCTGTCCTTCCATTCTTAATGATAGCTTTTCTAGATAGAGTAATCTTGGTTGTAGGTCCTTGCTTTTCATCACTTTGAATACTTTTCTCCAGTCACTTCTTGCCTGCAAAATTTCTTTTGAGAAGTCAGCTGACAGTCTTATGGGAACTCCTTTGTAGGTAACTCTCTGCCTTTCTATTGCTGCTTTTAAGATTCTCTCTTTATCTTTAACCTTTCACATTTTAATTATGATATGTCTTGGTGTGGTCCTCTTTGGGTTCAACTTGTTTGGGACTCTCTGAGCTTTCTGGACTTGCATGTCTATTTCCTTCAACAAATTAGGAAACTTTTCTTTCATTATTTTTTCAAATAAGTTTTCAATTTCTTCTTCTACTTCTTCTTCTGGCACCCCTATGATTCAGATGTTGGCATGTTTGGAGATGTCACAGAAGTTGCTTATATTATCCTTGCTTTTTTAAATTCTTGTTCCTTCTTTCTGTTCTGGCTGAATGCCTATTTCTTCTTTATGTTATAAATCATTGATTTGAACCCTGGCTTCCTTTCCTACAGTGTTGGTTCCCTATGGATTTTTCTGAATTTCACTTAGTATAACCTTCATTTCTTCCTTTATGTTGTTGCTGTATTCAATGAGTTCTTTGAGCATCCTGATCACCAGTGTTTTGAACTCTGCCTCTGATAGGTTGGCTATCTCCATTTTGTTTAGCTGTTTTTCTGGGGTTTTGTTCTGTTATTTCATTTGGGCCATATTTCTTTGTATCCTCAATTTGGCAACATTGCTGTGTTTGTTTCTGTGTATTACATAGAGCTGCTTTGATTCCTTGTCTTAGTGTACTTGTTAAGTTATATGGGGCAGAGCCTTAGGTGTTCACTAGGGTGGAGCAACCCACTTCCCCACTTTGTGACTTTGTGTTGGGGGAGGGTTCTGAGTGGGGACAATGCTGCTACCTGGCTTCTGGAGGCTTGCCCAGCACTTGCCCCATTTCCTTTCACTTCACCCACTTCCCATATGCACCTGGCACCCTTCCACTTGTTGCCCTGGTGGTGAATCCAAGAGTGGGTGACTCTGTGTAAGTTCCAAGTCCATGTGGACCCCTTAAATACACTCTCCTGAAAATCTGGCAATTTCTTCCACTACCCCACCCCCACTGGTTTTTATAGCTAGACATTATGGGGATTTATCTTTCTGGTATCAGAACCTTGTGCTGTACTCTAGGAGACCATTCTGTGTGGTGTGAACCCAGCTCCCACTCAGAAAGGCCAGTGCACAGTGAGGTCCAGTGTGCAGGACCCATGTCCACGGATAGGTTCTCCCAGGGGGAATCAGGTCTGCATTGTACCTAGGCCGCTTTGAGACTTGCCTTTTACTAAAACTCCCTCACTCTGAATTGAGGCAGCAAACATTTACTGCATATCTTTAAAGTAACTTCCTAAAATCTATGCTAAACCTTTCAAGGATGAATGTAACCAGTTTAACCACTTTTCCCTTTGCATTTGCAAATGTCCTTCTTCTCTGATGTGGTTAAGCGGCATCCTCTCCTTTGTTTTCTGTAAAAGGTAACCATCTAAAGTGAACCTGTGCATAGTAAATGAGGACCGTCCTCAATGTAATGTGCTCAGAAAAGCACTAAAAGTTTGTCAAGGCGAGGGTCAGGGTGCTCCCCTCTTGAGAGAGTGGCCAAGGCACTCTGACACTCTCTCCTTGAGAGAGAGGTCGAGCCATCCCTTTTCCTCCACAGGACTTGGTAGTCCATGTGAATTTGTCTTGTCTTGTCTGAGCCACAACGCCGCAGATCCCAGAGCCAGGGTCTGTGTCACTGTATAGCCTGGCTTGGGGTTGGGATCGCTTACTCCCAAGGTATCCCTCCTGATTTTTATCCACCACACATGAATGTGGGACCACCTATTCTACTACCACTGCCATCTCTCTGTGCCACACTATTATCTCCTCGCCTCTCCACTCATCTCTGCAACTCTGCCCCTCCTACCCATCTGGATAAAGGTGGCTTCTTTACATCGTTGGTTGTCAGACTTCCATATAGATTGATTTTCTGACAGTTCTGGGTGTTTTTTTTATTTTGAGGTTTTGTTGTAATTCTTCTTGTGGTTGCATGAGGAGGTGAAGTGTGTCTACCTATGCCTCCATCTTGACTGGAAGTCTGCCCAAGGCAGGAGAAGTGGTCTCCACTATTTCCTAGATGCCACTGCTCTAGCCCTCCAAAACTTTTTATGATTGAATCTCTTTGTGGTATTGTACACAGGTCTACTTGCTACATATCAGTCTGTGTGTCTTTGGGCAATAAGAATATATTGACATAAAATCCAGTATAGAGTTTTCAATTTTTTTTAGTATAGAAACTTTGTTGAAATGAAATCTCACTCATAAATAAGACCCCTTAGCCCAACACAGGTAGAACTACAACTTGGAAGCCAAAGACAAAGAAGAACACAATCCAGGTATGAAAAGATGAGGTAGTTTTTAACCAAAACAATCAATTCCATCTATTCCACACAAGGCAGAGTATAGCCTCTAGGTATGAAGCCAAACACAGCCTATGTATATGTATATCAAATCTTTGGTCATTTCATCACTCCCCCATCTCACCTATGTGCCTAATTTACTGTCATTGATCTTGGTCTTTGAATCTCCCAAACATCAGTTTTTTAAAAAATATGTTTTATGAACCTCTAGGGATCCCTAGTGGCTTTGAAAGTTTCTCCATACTGATAATACTTATATTGTTTTATTTCATCATATTATTTGTCTCCACATCAGACTCTGACCTTGGAGACTGGGGCTATATTTATCTCATCATGGCATCCACAGCACTCAGCATGGTGCTGAGTTTGGCAAAGAAATAGCTGTTAAATGAATAATATCCCTAACATGACAATGTTTTCAGTACTTCTTTTTTTGACATGAATTAATTATTTGGTCCTAATTTTAAAAAAACTTTGGTCAAGTCACTAACTTCATATACCTTAGTCTCAGTTTTCAAATCTGAGAAACAATGTGTTGTGAAAAAGGATCAAATTAGAGGATAAAATATCCGGTAAACTCTAAAGTTCCATACAAATTATCATGACAAAAATATCCACCTCTTTGTATTTTTATCAAAAATCACACTGTAAAATTCTTTTGAGGAGGGGTGTCCCAGGGACACATACATTGACAAAAAAGTCTGTAGATCACAGAAGTTTGATGAGCACTTGGTTAAATGCATGTAATGTCCTACTGTGGAGTTTCCAGACTTATTTTTAGTCACAGACATTTTGTTAAAATCTTACTCAGCTGCACTGACCGAAGGTCAGAGACCTAGAATAAGAAGGGGTGGGGTTTGCGGAAGACCTCAGACTGAGCTAAATCCAATTTGGAAACCACTGGCCTCATGAGTGAATATACAATATAAAAGAATTAGGTTCCCTAAAGTTGTTACATACTGAACAAATAACTTAGCATGTTGGAAATAAATGTGCCATATAGAAGAAAAATTCTAATATTTTCTATTTGTGGATTTTTCTGGAGCAACTGAAGGAAACAATCTACATTTTCTTATCAATTATTATCTACTTTTACATTAATGGAAGTACAGCTACATGGGCCAAATACCAAGAATACTAGGTATCGAGGGATACACTCAAGTCTGCTCTGTCTTATTTTTCACCTTTGTCTCCAAGTTAGATTTCTTCCAAGAAGGTTTAAGTCCAAAGAGTCTCAATGAGTCAAGTTCAATGCAGTCATCTTCCTCAGACAGAGAAGGACCAAAGTTCAGCTTTACGAACTTTGTGTAGATTTAACCAACATTAAATTAAAGAGATGATTCAGAATTTCTGATTGGTGGGATGAAAATTGTTGGGACCAAAGCTGTACTAGAGACTCATTATTCATACCTGACACCATGATTTCAGCCACAAGCATATGTTGGGATTGTGTAGTGTTATCTTCAAACTCTTGACTGCTGGATAAGAAATCTGATGACATTTCTTGATTGCTTAGATCTGCTTCACTACCTATGGAAGGTCAACAGATACAATTAACTTAACTTTCATGATTCAAGAAAAGTTTTATTTAATTTATATTTATGGCTCTTTGTTGGTTGACAGTTCAGATCCATCCTTACAGTAACAGCATTCAAGGAAACTACCAGGGTCTTGGTGACTTCAAAAACCTCACTGGCTATACCACACCATCCCAGCTTTACTCCATGCAACCTGACAGTTGAGGGAGGGGGCCAGCAGGGAAGAAAGGCAAGACATTTTTAGGTACTGGGAAAAAATGAAATACCAGAATCCTTATGAATATAATCAGCTTATAATCACAGAATGCCATTACAAGGGAAAATTGATGAGATGTGTTCCATACATATTCCTCCTTTAGGCTGTTTTCCAACACTTATTTTAGCCTGATTTTACTTGTATTTAGATAGGTGGATGGGCATAAGCAAGCCATAGTTTAACACAGGCATGGGACCTATGCAACTTCCTAGATATGGGAGAAATGGATCCCTTAAAACACCAAATGTGCTCTCTAAGTATGTGCATGGATCCCTGGGGTCCCACTGCATGGAGTTCATAAGGTCAAACTATTTTTATAAAAGGCAAATAACTTTGATGTGATTTGCCTTTCTCACTGTATCTGGATTGATACTAATGGACAAAAGTAATGATTGGTGGAACTGCAATGCCTTAGCCTGAATCAAGGCCATGGCACCAAACTCTACTAGTTGTCATGTTCTTCACTGCCACCTATAATCTCTCTCTCTCTCTCTCTCTCTCTCTCTCTCTCTCTCTCTCACACACACACACACACACACACACACACACACACTTCTTTCATTTAAGAGGATCCATGGTGAAGAGTAATAATAAATGCCCTGGCCAGTGTGGCTCAGTTGGTTGGAGCATTGTCCCGTAGACTGAGAGGTCTTGAGTTTGATTCCCGGTCAGGGCACATACCTAGGTTGTGGATTTGACATACCTAGGTTGTGGACAGGGGAGTCTAGAAGGCAACCAATATATGTTTCTCTCTCTCTCTAAAAATCAATGAAAAAAATTTCCTTGGGTAAGGATTTTTAAAAAGTGAGAATTATTAATTTTTTAAAATCTTGCCCATGGAATATTTAGCTCTAACATTCTTATAATAAAGTGGAAAATACACATAAAACACTCTGTTATCTGTGGAGATACTGAATTATGATGGTTGTCTGAAGGAAAATCACTTATATGCTCTTTGAGTTGCAAGTTAAAACTAGTTTCTTTTTTCACTGAGCATGATTTTTACTTGAAAGGATAACTGATAAACTACGTTATTAACACTTGGGGATTTGGCAAGCTTTTTTTTTTTGAAGAAAATGAATAAAGTGAGCCTGTCACTTCAAGCAAAACAACTCACAGTACTTGTTGCCATAATAAAATTTGAGCTTTCAAGTGAGAAATAGAATTCTACTTTAGAAAATCTTCTCCACTACCATGAGCTTGACAAAATTTCAATACTGTAAACCTTTCTGATGAGTTTGATGGTGATACTTAATAAATGTGATTTTTGTAACAATTATTACATGAATGTAACAATTGGAAGATCTGCATAACTCAACTAAATTTTCAAATGAATAAAATATGATACTACCAAATCATGCAAGATAAAAGATCCACTCAAAGTACAAAATATCATTGAATTTTAATATGTCAGAAGACAAAAAAATTCAATGATGTGGCTTCAGATTCCACATTGCAACTAAGCTCCAAGAAACTATCAAATATATATTTCTGATATGGTATCAAATAAAAAATGCAAAAAAGGCATCTGAAAAAGCTGTTAAATATTCCTTCCTCCCTTTTCCAACTCCATGTCTCTGTGAGGCCAAATTTTCTTCATAGGCTTCAATAAAAACAACCCAGCAACAGACTTAACCTGCACGCAGGCATGAGAATCCCCCTGCCCTCTATCAAGCCAGACATTAGATATAAAGGTAAACCAATGCCATTCTTCTCACTGCATAGTTTTTTGTTTGGGGAAATATAATCATTTAACTTATTTCTATAAAAGTATCTTATGTTCATATATAATGGAATATTAGAACAATTTTAATAGATATTTCTAGAATATTTTAGTTTTAATTTCTAATATAAATATTGATAGATGTAGTTTATAAAAACAAAAACTCTGGGATTCTCAATCATTTTTAAGAGTGTAAAGTATACCTGAAGCCAAAAATATTAAGAAATGATGTCCTAAGGTAACAATTAATAGAAAGTTCTGAAAATCCAAAATATCCAATTCCAGTCCATGACCTGAATAGACAATTCCCCAAAGAGGACATACAGAAGGCCCAAAAGATGCTCAAGGCCATTAATCATCACAGATATGCAAATTAAAACCATAATGAGATATCATCTCACATCTGTCTGGCTACCATCAATAAATCAATGAACAACAAGTGTTGGCAAGGATGTGAATAAAGGGAAACCCTAGTGCACTGTTAGTGGAAATGCAGACTGGTGCAGCCACTGTGGAAAGCAATGTGGAGATACCACAAAAAGTTTAAAATGGATCTGCTTTCTGATCCAGCAATCCCATTTCTGGAAATATATGTGAAGAAACCTAAAACATTAATTCAAAAGAACATAAACACCCCTGTGTTCGCTGCAGTGTTATGTACAATAGCCAAGATATGGAAGCAGCCCAAGTGTCCTTGTCCTCATCAGTAGATGAGTGGATAAAACAACTATTTGACATTTACACAGTGGAATTCTACTTGGCCATAAAAAAGAAAATTTCACCATTTGTGGCAGCGTGGATATAAGCAGGACCTGGAAAACATTATGCTGACTGGCTTATTTAAGCCAGTAAGAGAAAGACAAATACCATATGATTACACTCATATGTGGAATCTAATGAACAAACTGAACTAACAAGCAAAATAGAGACAAGTTCATAAATAGAGAGCAGTATGACAGTTATGAAGGGGCTAAGTGGTGGAGGGATGGAGCAAAAAGGAAAAAGGACTCATGGACATGGACAACAGTGTGGTGATTGCAGGGGAGGAGGTATAAGTAGGAGAATGGAAAAAATACAATTAAAAAATTGTGGTGAATTTTTTTTAAAAAAGAAGCCCATACTCATCAGAGGAAAAATAAACACTTGGCATCCCTAAAATCAGAGGAGCTTTTAGTACACAAAATATTAAAGAGCAGCAAGTGCATAAGGTTCAATGTAGAATAAAACTATATTCCTGAGCCAAGGTAAGACACATAATTTATTATATTACCTGTTGATATCTGATGGACATTTAGAGCCAGACACATTTTCCCATCTGGGGCTTTCACAAAACCTTCACGACATGAACACTGAGCAGTTCCAAACTCCTCTTTGCAAATGTGTTCACAGCCTCCGTTTTGATATAAGCAGGGATCTGCCCCTAGTGGAGGAAGAGATGCGTTCACAGAAGGGCTTGTAGATCAAAAGAGTGCCCTGGATACAAATCACAGTGTACAGCTTTGGGGAAAGAAACTTGGTGTATATAAGTGGAGCCCATATCAAGAGCTATTTCAGAAGAGTTCCTATAAGGAGCCATTAAGATTAGCTCAGAATGTTATTACCTTACGAGTTATTTAAGTATAATCAGTACATTTGTCCAAGAAGCTCTTTAGGCAGATGAGATTCCTATTTCCCAGCTCATGATCTAGTCAAATTGACAAAGGGCAGCCAGGAAAGAAGAGTTACTATAAATGACTAGATGCCTCCTCACTCCCTGGCACTGTCAGGGAGTGGAGAAAGGCCCCAGTGTAGATTGAAGCTTCCATTGCAGATGTCTAAATTGTCCATCCCCACCCCCACCCTTAGTTCCTTTAACACAAGAGTCTTTTAAAAGGACCACATAAGTAACAGCTGTCCAGGAAGGGAAAAATGAGACTGGAAGACTAAAGCCCAAATTTACTACCAGAAAGTTTTACTTTAAACAACATACAAATCTCAGGAAACTTTAACATCCACCTAGATTAGTGAGAACTGCAAAATCTCCCCTCCTCCCTTGTGATCAAACAATTAAAATAGTTGTAGATTCCAGTCAAAGAAAGACTGTGTAACATGTCCAGTGTACCTGGTTTTGCCAATGGATGAACTACAACCAGTGATGAGGGCTTCAGCATGCTGCCTCGGAGACGTACCCTGTTTTTGCCAGTCCTCTTGTTCACCCTTATTACCGATGGCACAGTCCAGTCAGAGAACCACACGTGATCCTCAAACACAGCCACAGCAAATGGGTGACCTGGAAGCAGTTCCAATCCATTACATACGTCTTGTCTTTGCCATGAATATGTTTAAAAGGACAGGCTTGAAATGTTCATGCAATCCCTAGACTAAATCAATTATTTAATGTAACTGCTAAGCAAGGTATGAGCCACCAACCTGATAGGGCAACCTCGTCTCAGAATGGAAGCCTGGTGGTGTGAAGCCCTCGAAAAGCCCATTGTCACCCAGCATTCAGAAAACTGGGGAACGTGGCCTCATGGAAATACAGGGTGGGGCAAAAGTAGATTTATAGTTGTGAGTACGAAAATTACAGTTTATTCTTGTATTATCACTTATTAATTGTTGTATTATTTTCTTTACGAAGAACTGTAAACCTACTTTGGACCCACCCTGCAACAGCAGCAAGATAAGAATCACTGACCAACATTTGTGTTCAGTGATTCTGTCACTATTTATAGACTAAACTTCAGCAAATAATCATACCCCTCTTTGCTCTCAGTTCCTTGGCTTTTGAATGGCAGGAATAGGTAGTACACTAATTCACAGTTGCTGTAAGGATACTTAAAAATTTAAGGTAACTGAATAACAATTTCCTCAAACTCCCAGCTCCAACAACACATTTCCCTGCATTGGATGCCCACCTCTTCTCCTATCTCACCTCTTTTCTAGTATTCACCCATTGACCTGTGCTCCTGGTGTCCTCTGTCCTGCTTCTCTAGGCCATTGTTCAGTCAATTACCCCTTTCGTTTACATCTTCATTCTTTCCATTGTACTAGCTTCTTTCCTGCAACTAATGAATAAATATCTTCAGGTCTCTCCTATCTTAATTTCCTCATCTCCTTGACTCCTCCTCCTGGTTTCTTTTTGTCTCTTTCCTTCCATTTTTAGCCAAGTGCTTTGAAATTCATTTATTATCTGCTGTTGCCATTTTCATCACTACCAACCCCTAGGCTGGCCCTTCTGACCCCACCTCAACTAAACCCACTTCTCCCTGCTGCTGAAATTGCTCAGATAAGATTTTCTAATATTTAGTAAGCAAGGAAATGTTGTAATATACCATGTCAAGTAATTACAGACTAAAGCTAAAGACACCCAAGTTTAGAAGCTTTAATCACATCCCCTCACATTCCCCAGGCCAGTCTTTGCAAACGAACGATGGATTTGGTGGATTAGAATGAATGTCTCCCTCTTCTGGCAGCAAATGCAAATGCCTTCTCTGGGTGACAGGGAGTCTCCACCCAACATTACTGACCAGGGCCATTAAGCAAGCACAATTTATAATACCCAAGTGCTGGAAGCAACCTAGGTGCCCATCAGTAAATGAATGGATCAAAAAACTATGGTACATTTACACAATGGAATTCTATGCAGCTGAAAGAAAGAAGGAGCTCCTACCCTTTGTGACAGCATGGATGGAGCTGGAAAGCATTATGCTAAGTGAAATAAGCCAAGTGATGAAATACAAACACCATATGATCTCACCTTTAACAGGAACCTAATCAACAAAACAAGAAAACAAGCAAAATATAACCAAAGACACTGAAATAAAGAACAGGCTGACAGTGTTCAGAGGGGAGAGGGGAGAGAATTTCAGGGGAATTTCAGCGAAAAAGGGGAAGGGTTTACAGGAACAAGTATAAAGGACACATGGACAAAAACTAGGGGCAGGTGGAAATGGGAGGGAGGTGGGGAGGGCTGGGTGGGTGGGCTGGGATGGGAGTAAAAGATAAAAAATTGTACTTGAACAATAATTAAAATAAAATTATTTTTTTAAAAAGATTCATTGTAATCTCCAGCTCACTGTCCCAAATTAAAGCCATAAATGCAGCAAAGGAATTCTTTTATATAGCTATTGGTTTTTTATTTGGGTAAAAAAAACCAATGACACAATATTTACCATCTTGGCCTGTGTATAGTTCACTAGTGGTAAGTACATTCACGTTGTTGGGCAACCAAATTCCAGAAACTTTTTACCTGGTAAAACTGAAACTCTACACCCATTAAACAACAACTTCTCATTTCTCCCTCTCCCCAGTCCCTGACGAAGACCATTCTACCTTCTGTTTCTATGAATTAGACTATTCTAGATACCACAATAAGTGGAATCATACAATATTTATCTTTTGTAACTGGCTTACTTCACTTAGCATAATGTCTTCTGGGTTCATCCATGTTGTAACCTGTGTCAGAATTAGTTATACTTTTTCAATAAAAAACCCACACTAGACATAATACTTCTTATTTTTTTGGTTATGAAAGGGCCACAATTGCATTTAAAATGAAGAATAAATTCCTTCAATCTTTACATTAAAAGTCTTGAACTGGCAGTTGAGAAACTGCCATTTACATACCTATAGATGGCACTGTAGTGATGGGAATAGTTATTCAGATATTTAAAACTTCTCAGTTATTTGATAATGGCCTTTAATAAGAAGTTACATTTGTCACAGATTTGAGTAATAATACAAATTATTTTTAAAAAAATATCTGCCATGAGTTTGGGTTTAGAATATTATGTCTTTAGATTCTGGTTAGAAAATTTCAAATCCTTTAGGGCACTCATACATCAAAGCTATAATTTCACATTTATCTGGCAGATGAAATTTTTAAATAGACCAATGACTTCACAGGAACAATATTTGTGTAACTCTTCTTGTACATCTGCTTCCCACAATGACTCAATAATTACCTGTTATGTGCATGGATGAGTAAAGTCTAGAACTGTACATGAGCTTATGGCTTATTGTGAAGCATCTCTCTAATTTTTAAAGAAACTTAAAAGTATGTAACATTTTCAGTTGTATTTATCTTCATTTTCTTAATGTGTAATACAAATCTAGAAATTCATTACCTCTACAATCAGAGACTGGACAAAATAAATATCTTATACAGAGTATTAGATTGTTAGCCTCTTCCTTGAAAAAGAAACCATGTGTTTCATCTTCCCAACCAACCAGCTTATGAAGCTCTGAAGCCTCTTTAACATCTCCTTGGCCCTCATTTCTATTTCCAATCTGTTAGTAAATGCTCTCATTTTTTTATTCACAGTGATTTTTTAAAAATACTCTACTTCTCCATTTTACTGTTCAATGGCAATATTCGAGCTCACGCCTTCATTAGCTGTCGTCTGGACAACTTTGTAGTTTCGTAAATAATTTCCTTCTCTCCAAATTTCCAATCCGACTCTCATACTATTGAAAACCTAAGTGGTTATCCTGAAATATCAACCTTATATATACTTCCTGCTTGAGAATATGCGGTGGCTCTCTAATACATTCAGGACTAAGTTCATCCACATATCTTGGCAACACTAACATACAGATGCCAATTTTTGCAGCCTCATTTCAAATGACACAGTTTTATCACCATTGATTTACTGCATGGCCCAGTTCAAATGTTTTTGCAGATTCCCTGAGTCAAAAATTAATCTTTCTGTGAATCTCAGAGCCATTTGTACTTCTTTTTAAACAGTTACAATAACTACAGTGTTTTAAAGATATTTAAGAAAATACACACATGATAACCCATGTAAAATCTGAAATTATATAAAGTGGAAAACTATATTAATCTTTGCAATCAACAGATATTCACTAATCTCTGAGGGTGATATTATCACTGTTGTGAAAATGACATTTCCTAAAGATAACAGCTGAATCAAGTTCTTATTCTTAAATAAGTTTTAAACATTTCAATATTTTCCTTCTGACTTTTGGAAAAGTTGGCAAAGAGAAGTGATTATAGGTCATGATTTTTTATCCAATATTTCAATGTTCAGGTAACCCTCAGAGCTCATAAATCCTTGCAGAAGTCTATCAGCTTGCTTGTCCCCATTCCTGTCTCACTGTGTGGTGAAGAGTGTGTGTGCCCCTGTGCGTGTGTATATAAACACGTTTTATATTTAACACTCATCAACTCTCAGGTAAGATAAAGAAACCCCCCCATCCAAAAGCCTCACCTACATCATTCTGGGCAAGTCTTTGGCGTTTTGAACCATCCAGATTGGCCATCTCAATCACAGACTGTTTGGCATCGCACCAATACAACTTGTCAGTTAAGAAATCAATTGTTATTCCACTGGGCCAGACCAGCCCAGAGCTAGCGATAATCAGTCGGCCAGCGCCTCGAAGGGAAGAACTTTCAATTCGTGGATTAATCCCCATATCAGTCCAGAATAACCTCCTTTAATCAAGAAAGCATACAACAAATAAAATTTGCACAAAATTCTCCCATTCTTTCATCATTGGGAATGTCAATTTAAATCACTTTAGGATAAACTAAGCAATATAGAAGAAAGAAGTATAGCACTGTATGTTGAACAAATAATTTTTCCAAAGCAAAAGCTTATATTTTATAGGTAGACCATGTTGGACAGGAACTGATGAACTAAGGCTCAGGTCATTAGATAAAAAAGGAATTATTAATTTTAAACACTGCAGAATATAACTAACTGAAAATGTATTCAAATGCATACTCTTAAATTAGTGTTTCATGCTGCAAAAGGCAATATCTTGCTAGCTTGCCCCTCCGCTGTGCAAATTTAAAACTCACTGTATATGTAAAATGGCAACATAAGGGAAAGAGCATATTTATCTATTATCCAGTTTCATATACTGTACTCAATTAACTTGGTTAATTTTAAGTTCTGCATATCACATCCTATAACAGTGCTGGGAAACATTTCGTGTGGTCAGTATCTTTTCTCTAGACTGCTTAGAGATAGTTATATTCTCACTCTTTTAATCATGTGGCTGGCTCCATATCAATGATCAATTATTACCAATATACATTTTTATTATTTTTTAAGATTTTATTTATTTATTTTAGAGAAAGGAAGGGAGGGAGAAAGAAAGAGAGTGAAACATCAATGTGTGGTTGTGTCTCATGTGCCCCCTACTGGGGACCTGGCCCACAACCGAGGCACGTGCCCTGACTGGGAATCAAACCAGTGACCTTTGATTTTCAGGCCAGCACTCAATCCACTGAGCCACACCAGGCACAGCAATTATTACCAATGTATTATTTCTCATAGACCATCGTAATAAAAGAGAGTTCATTTTTATCTTTGTTTTTTAAAATGTAGGAAGAAACTGGTGATTCTCCTTAATTCTCTGAACCTAAACCAACATTTGTCACTAATTAATATTGAACAACATAGAATCTTCTAATCTTTCATGATTTTTATTTCTTCTTGTCTAAATCTAAAAATGACTGATCATTTAAACTCATCTTATGATTTTTCTAAATAGAATTAATAAGTCATACAATCTAAATGTTTTCTTCTACTCAGGAATGCAATAATGTAGCTTTTAAGGAAAGCAATTTATTGGGCTTATATCTAATTGATTAATAAATTACAGCCCCTTTCTTTTCAGAAAGAAATTGAATTTGAATAAAATGAAAGGATATCTAGACAACATTTTCATATAAAAATAGAAAATGAAAAGATTTAATAATGAAGATATTATGGTAGCCACATCATTTCTGAAAATGTGGACAAATCTAGTTGATTTTCTTCATTTCTGATTCCACTGACCACCTGCCATCTTAGTACAGATTTTGGACATTAACATTTCAAATGTGACGGCTGCAGAAAGGCATCTGAATTTCACAAGTACCTACTTGGCCATTGGATGAACAGTGATTCCTCGTGGCTGAGAGATGTTCTCCTTAATGATTATTTCATGATGTTTTCCACTTAAATCACTGCCTTCAATGACAGATTTCCTAGAATGTATGTCATATAAAGGGGCTTGTTACATTAACTTTATTTTTTAAACAAAAATACTCTGTTTCCTTGTTTCTTATTGCATGCAAAGACAGGCATTCTGAACTACCTTCTTGTGTGGTGTGCACACACACAGTCACGTCCAGATCAGGACCAAATGCCCATCTTTACCAAATGTCAATATAGGCCCCAGGGGATGAAAACGCACAGTGAAGGGTAAGTTAAGAGGGGACTGTGTCAGTGGCCTGGCAGGGATGAAGCCAGTAGTGTAAATCCCACCACCCCTTTCTGCTCACAACCTGTCATCTCCTCTGGAGCCAGGGGCCACCAGTGGGGAGAAGGAGCCAGCCTCGAGGTCACAGATCCCAGGGCGGAGAGAGAGTACGTCTCCCAGGGCCACAGAGAGAGCCGCATAAGGACAGGAAAGGGTATTTATGTTGACTTCAGCGTTCTCCCCACAGGATACTTAGAAAAGTAAGAGTACTAAGCTATTATTTGCTAAACTTTACATTAAAAAAAAATAACTCTTTGGAATCAGGCAGAGGAGGAAATTCTTGTTTCTTAATGCTTCCATTTATTTGTGAAACAACCCTTTATTATCAGACAAATATTTACTGAGCAAGCACTACTGTATATGTCAGAGATCTGCTGAGGCACTGGAGGCACAATAGCCTGTCTCTGTCCTTATCGACCTCCTAGTTGAGCAGGAGATCCGGGGAGGGAGTGGGGAGGGAGAAGGAAGGTGAGTAGACAAGGAAAGAGCACCCTAAGCAGAGGTCTCAGCAGCTGCCAAGTCTGGGAGACCTAAATGAGTGTGGAATAGTCATAATCTCACGTTAGAAAGTCCACTGTGGCGTTAGTGTGGAGGGTACAAGGCAGGCAAGAGATGATGGTGACTGAGCTAGGGCAGTAGCAGTAAGATGGAGAAAACTAGGTGGAATCAAATGTGAACTTTTATCCTGTGAAACTGACCTTGTCGTGGGCCTGTGGGGCAACCTGGGCTTCTGAGCAGTCTCTGGAGCAGACAGGACCACAGGCAGAGGGGTGTGAGTGGCACCCCTTCCCCCCCAGGGGCTACCCATTCCCTGTTTCCCTACTGAAACTAGAGAGTATAACTATCTTTAACCCATTCAACAGACAGCTGCAAAGGGCCTATCTTGTTCTTGTGTGCTGCCTGCTGGCCCTGTTTCCCTATTACAAATTAGATAATACAACTTTCTTGAAGTCATTCAGCAAACATCTGGGAAGGGCTTACCCCCTTGTTCTTGTAGGTAATGTCTGCATGAGGCAGCCTTGCCCAGAAGCATGAGGCAGGACTATTCTTTCTGTCTGATTCTATGAAATGCTAAGGAGACCTTCTGCAGGTGGCTTATTGGAGCCACTTATTTCTAGCCACTGGGTGGGGAAGGGGTTTTATAGATTCCTCCTCACAGGCTACATGCAGAAGGGAGGTAAAGGTAAGATGACTCAGGACCTGTGTTGGGTCAAATGTGCTTTACAAGCTTTCAGTTCAGGGCAGTGGATAATTTTTAAACCACTTATATTCCAGTGCCATTTTTAAAAGATAATTTTATTCCCAGATGAAGTGGTTGTCGGAAGGGTACTGCTGGGTAGAAGGTATTTTTTAACTCAATGTGTCGAAGTCACTCAGCCACAACTGTCACTGTGCCTGTTCCCTGGCTGGGAGCGAAGGCATTCTGAAGCAACTTGCCTGTGACTACTGGCTCTGTGCTCACTGTGACATCATCTCTCAACTCTCACTATTTTGGGCAGGGGTCAGGTGATGAGAACTGAGACCAACATAAACTCCTGAGTCTGGAGCTGTTCACTCAACACTGTACTTCTCTGTGATCCAGCCAGAAAGCAAATCTCAGTCTGCAGTGTGGGCAATGAGAAAGCCAAGAGGAGTGCAGACACTGGGCTCACTGGAGTTCAAGCACAACCTTAATCTAGTGGAACACCTTTCTCTTTGTGTCCGCTCCCTGACTGGTCCCAATGTCACTGGGACCCTCTAAGACCTACACTCCTTCCAGGGTGAGAGTTGGCCATCCAGAAAACTGGAAAAGTGACTTTTACCTCATGGTAGTTTTTATCTCAAAAAGAATGAACAAATAGATATATATTTTCCCCTTCTTGATTCTTTTTTACTGGGCAATTGACTTTAGGAATCAGGATTCCTTAGTACTAAATAATAGCATTGCCAGTGAAATTATCAATTAGCCTCCTTCCTACTGTTGGTAGGTGTTAATCTGAATCTTGTCTTTTCTGAAGCCAATATAAACTAGAAGCATCCACTCTGGTTCTTTTATTGGTTACGAGTTACCATATAATCTAGTATCACAAGCTTGGAATCTCAGTTATTTAAATCCAATTTCTGGCTAATATCAAGGTTTTCAAACTATAAACCTTTCATTTCCAGATAAATTAAAGGTTTTCGTTTAGCAGCTGCCTTTGGAGGAAAGAGTACTTAAGAAGGGCATGTTATTACTGAAGCCAGTGAACTAGGGACTGCTTCTGGGGATGCGCTGCCTGTGTGTATGTCCTGAAGGCATCACCTTGGCAGTCGGTCCCACGGTGCTGTGAATCAAACACTGGTAGAATTAGAGGTGCCAAGCAAGTGTGGGAAATATGAGGAGACCCGGCACCCTTAGAGGGGTTGACAGCGACTAACATCTGCTGTCCTGATCAGCATTTATGCTTCTGAGGACAGCCGTGTACAAGCTCTGTTATTATGCACAGCTGACATTTTAAATGTCCTTTTAAGTCAGTTCAACACAGAGGAGGCCATTATTATGATTTTGAGCATTATTACAACTGAAGCAGACTTTCATTTGTTATATGACTCTGGGTGGAGCACACTGTAATCAACTGTGATAGGGGGAGGCAGTACCTGTCAGTGATTATTAAAAGCATAAGTTTTGGAAGTTGTCCTTGAGTTCAAATCCCAGATCCACTACCTGTGGGCTGCTTGACTTTGATAAAGTTATTTTACCTCTTTGATTCTCAATTTTTTCAATCTTTAAGTTGGGGGTGAAAAAACATCTTTTGGGACCTGGATGGTATCATAGATATAAAGTTCTTAATGCAGTATCTGGAGCATTTCAGTTAATAAATAAACACCCAAAGAATAAAAGAATGAAGGTATGGTTAAAAGAACAAAAGAATGAGTGAAAATATACTCACTCTGGTATAGATATGCCATGTTATTGATAACTGTACATCACATCATACATCTGGCTCATTTTTAAAAATGCACCATTTCCAAAGGGTTATCCAGACCAAAAGAGAATTTCTGGAACATATAAAGCCTGTCTGCAAGCATATAAACCTGTTTCCTGGGACTTCTCCCTCCATGTTGGCACAGCTGATTTCACAGATGTGAAACCACAATTAACTCTCCTTTCTTTTAACTTAACATGATTGATTGGGTACCAGATGTTCAGATTAGCCACCATTTCATTTTATGGTTTTAAGTGACTCTGGAAAAATATCATTCCAGCCCAGAGCATCTCTAACACTGCCCTGTGAGGTACTCTGAGGTTAGCATCCTCTCTTTCCAAAGCAGGAGAGTGGACTCTCACAGCACATATGGGGTATTTTCCTGTGTTCAAAGTGGAGGATGAAGCCAGCAATATTACCTATCTCATCACTTCTATCCCACATGGCTAACAGGAACATACCCTCTGTCTGTCCAATAGAGTTTACGGTCAATCCAGTCCACAGCAAGACCTTCTGGAACGTCTACTCCTTCCTCGATAAGCCTTTCTCGTTGGGAACCATCCATATTGGCTCTCTCTATCCACTTCAGGGCCGTATGGGCAAAGTATATCTACAAAAGAGAACACAGGCATTTCTGGAGGATTTGTTTTAAAAAATGAATATGTGATACAAATGAGGTGAGTATCATACAGTGGAATTGTTAAGAACTTGGCTTTGGACATAGATATACATGCAATTGAACTTCAACTATGCTGCTTCCCAGATACTTGTAAACTTAAGCAAGTCAGTAAATATCTCAGAGTCTCAGTCTCCTCATTGGTAAAATGGGCATAATAATACCAAGTACATTAGTTTTATGTATAAAACTCCTTAGGGGAGACTGGAAGAGATTAGCCAAAGAACATATATGCATAACGTATGGACACAGACAACAATGTGGTGAAGACTGGGGTAGAGATTGGGGGCTTGGTGTAGAGGGAAAAGGGAACGAGGGAAATGAGAACCATCTGAAATAGTGTCTACAATCAAAACAAACAAGCAAACAAAACAATAACAGCAACAACAACAACAAAACCTCCTTAGCCCTGTGCCTGGCACGTAGTTCTATTGTGACTGGGAACTTATTCATCTTTGATCATTGGTCAATAACAAAGCCATTGTACTTGAACACTAGGCTCCTGCAGCCTGGAAGGGAGCAATGGCTTTCAGTTTAATGGGAACTGCATGCTGGGCTGTGTCCTCTCTGCACAGCCCACAGCACTCCGCTTCACTGAAGTCAAGGGACACAGGCTCCTCCTTGTTTGATTACCTTGCCAGGTCACTGAGCCTCAATTTTTTCAACTGTAAAAATAATAAAGTTAGGCTAAATATTTGCTAAAGTTTTTTTATCTCTAACTTTATCTAATTGCATTTTAATTAATCCATATTGGATATTATCGAACAGAACATACCTTGCAGGTACAAAGGTTTTTTTCAGTCTAGTATGCAGACTATCAAATAGGTACAAGTATTTCATGAGAATGTTAAAAATCGCTATGGGTAAGCTTACAGTTTAATAACAGCTTATGTGAGATTTTAACTGTGAGTACACATATGTACATAAACCTATAATCGATAAGAGTACTCACAAAATGGTAATTCATTAAATAATGGGTTAAAACCTTTCTAGATAAAACAGAAGAGACTCTATTTTATAATATAAAATGGGTGCTTCTCATATTCAAAAGCAGTCCACTACAGCATGGCTTCTCAAATTGGAATGGACATACAAATCCCCTGGGAATCTTGTTAAGACAAAGACTCGGCTTCAGCGGTCGGGGTGGAACCTGAGAGTCTGCAGTTCTAACAAGCTCCAGGTGGTGTGAACACCGCGGGTCCTAGGAGCACGGTTTGAAAACCAAGAAAATAAGAGCATTGACCAGAAAAATTAAAAACGTCCATACAACTTAAAGTTCATTCTAGACTTCTTCTTCACCTACTTGTAAAAATACTGTGAAGGAAAAAGACCAGTTTGGTAATAAGTGAATCTTGAACTGAGTTTTTCTATTAATTTTTTTTCTGTTAATATAATTCTTCCATGGAGTCATATAGATTCAGCTCAGGGAAAGGAAAGATGAATTGTTCGCTAGTGTTTAATGACTCAACTTCTATTGCAAAAGTAGTTATAGTTGGCCATTACTTATACCAAGTAAACACAGAATCAGTTTGCTTCCTTCATCTGTGGCCATTTACCAGACTGCCTCAAATCAGGAAAAAACAAAGGAACAAGGTTTAAAATTGTAAGAATTAATCTAGTAATAACTAATAAGAATAGAGGGAAATTAATAACTATGTAAATTCATACATATGGGTGATAAATCCCCAAAATATGCTATAACATATTATTTAAGCACATTCTAACTTAGCACAAATACAACTAACAAAGATCACATGGTCAGCTGATTGTGTTCAAAATGTAAAAATTTTAAGTTTTATACAAAAAAAATTCATGAAAAAAGTGATTATTATGTAAATAATTTCATCAGTTAGACTACTATTCTCAAATGAGCCATAAAACTTAGGTTTCCTGATTTTCATGGTTAAGAGGCCACTGAATTCCCTCCCTCAATGACATATATCAAATGCAAATTACTAACTCACAATTCCTAAGCCCCACCCCAACCTCCCATTCCTCCCTATTTATGGGCTTCTCACCACGTGTATGGTGCTGGACCAGGATACTGTCATCATGTGCAGAAACAAAACTAAACTTGAGATCCTGCTCAATCATCTCTAATAAAATGGCTGAATCACATCAAGAACCAGGGTTACGATAACAGAAAATCCTTAACATTTCTCAAATGATGTTTCAATGTCTATATTTAAATTTTTCTGTGCCTAAGGGTTTTGAGCTTAGCAGAGGATTTTCAAGTAACCCAGGTCATCTGTTAAGAAAAAATTCTCTACTTTGTTCTTAAAGCATGGCCACACCTGTTCAAGTGACAAAACCATACCTTATTTTCCACAGGGTCATGATCGAGGGCAAAAACCACTCCCATCTGTTGGGTGAGCAGGGTTACATAGTCTGTTCCATCAAAATGCATGTGTCGAATATCTTGAGAATTGGCAAACAGCAAAAACGGTTGTGGTCCTGAATACCAAATTCAAATACGGTTCCATTTAAAATATGCCTTGAAAGCCAAGAGGCACTTGTGACTTTTCCCTTTCATTGTGCCCTCTTCCTTAATTTCTGCAGTAGTTTTCTACTCTCCTACCAGTGTGTATTGGTTAAGACAGGCAGAGGAAGACAGACAGGAAGAGTTTCTCTTCCGTGAGGTAACACAGTGCCAGAATTTCATCACTGGATTCCTCCCTGTCTAGAGGCCTGCTTTTAAAATGCAAATAACTTAGAGAAAGAGCCAGCATTAAATAACTAACACCAGAACTAAATGATAGGTGTTTTAGTGCTGTAATCTCCCTGATTCACACATACTGAAGCATGTTAACATTAGCAGATTGCATTAATCCATGTCCAAATAAATACCCTTCTCTGGGTTGAGCACTTCTAAAAGGGAAGCATGATTATTTGAGTTAATAACAAGACCCTTGTTAATTTCCAGAGCTCAGATTATGCTATATTAACCAAGGCCCTGGGAAGTTCAGAGTATTGAGCTCTGGCTAAAGCAAGCTCTGCAGGCTCATCATTATGTTAGTGCTATCCCAGATTACAAGCATGATGAAATGTCAGGAGAGATGAAATCAATTTGGTATAAATCTAGGATTTCCAAGGCTGTTGAGGACACAAGAGATGTAACATCAGCAGATGAAAAACTAGTTGAAGCATACCACTTTATATTAAATTTTGACATGAAAAATAAACAAAATTTGTTGAAGTATTATTATTATTACATTCACTGGAGAGTTGAAAGTCAAATCAATCAACAAATATTTATTCAATTCCTCTTAACTATAAAGTGTTGAAGTCTATTCTGGTCATGACTTTCACATATACTGGAATACCACACTTGATAGCAAGTCTTTGCTGAATGCTAATTAACTTCTGAATATTCCTCAAAAACATGATTATTATTTATAAGTTTATTATATATCCTATTAATACTTGTAATTTGGTTCCCATTTCCAAAAATAAAAATATCAGATGTTCTATCCAGAGGCAAAAAGCAATTTAATGCTCTATCTTTCTAAATGCACTGTTATCTTCACACACTTTTGCAAAGAGACACGCAAACACCCACAGCACCAACCTGAAGCTGCACAGCTTTTTCTGTCCAGTTGCAGGTCATACCCAGGAAGGCAACCACATTCCCAGGATACTGGGCTGAGAGCAAGGCAGAGCTGGCTACATCCACCATTATCAGGTGATGAACAGCCTACAAAAAACAATGAGGTAATGATGCTAGGTGACGATGCTGTATCATTAAAAAATACAACAATTATCTATCAGAATATTGAGATGAGCCAAGTATATATTGATTTTTAAAAACACTTCCACAGTCATTCATACTGCTGCAATCAAGTTGTTTTTCGGAGATTAGAAGCAAAATGTCAGTATACCCCATTCCCCTGTAACCTAACACCTTGAAGTTAACCCTTCACACCCCAATGGCCCTTGTCCTTTTGTTCTACCACTGAGTTCAAGAATCTGTGCATTGGCAGCAGGTTGGAATACGAAATACATTTTGATGAGTTTAGCAATTGGTCTAATTCTTCCTAGTAAGTAATATTTTTATTTCTTTCTCACATTTTTGGCCTCTTGACTTCTTTTGCTTTCTTTATTTTTATTTTTGAAAAGCCTCACATAAGTCTTCTGCTAATTTACTGTTACATCTATCCCTCTATACACTTAGTCTATGAAGATAAAAGAAAAGAGGTATTTAAAGGTGCGAGGAGCAGGCTAAGTACTTTGCTTCCACCATCTGCTTAATCCTGGCTACAAATCCAGGAGGCAGGTATCATTAACCTCTACAGATGAAGTAGCTGAGACCAAGAGAGAGCAGTGACTAATCCAAAATACTACTGCCAGTAACTGGGAATGCTCCCTCAAGGCTGTATGATTTCAAAGTCCTGGCTCATAACCTCCACACCGTGTTATTTAAAAACAAAACAAACAAATAAAAAAATATAATTTAAATCTATGCTAATCCATTGCATAAATATCTTCCAATGTGTAATGTTGGAAAATTTATTCTTCTTTGCCAGTAATATGCAAATTTCAGCCATCACTTAGGGAATAAATATTTTCAAACAAACAAATGGTAAATAAACTTACCACTACATGTTTTTCCATCTGTCTCAAGCACTGAGCCTTCTGGGCAGAAACACATGGGACCATCTGAAGTCAGAACACAGCCATGGCTGCATTCAGATGCATTGCTTGGACAGGAAATTAATTCTAATTAATGAAGAATAAGGTCATGATTAATGTTCAATCAGATTGTAGAAACTGAGTAAATTTAGTTGCCACTAAAATATACCCTAAAAATAGTAAGTAAAAATTAAACATTTATGAATTACTGTGATAATGAAGATATAAAAAGAAAGAAAACAATTTCAAATCTAAGAAACATTTTTAAAAATTCCTAATTTTGGAAAATGATTCTAGTTTCCTCTAAGTTTCTTTCATGTCAAATATTTTTAAAGTTATTAGTCATCAAAATTCCAAAATATTTTAAATGGAACTTGAGTGAATGATTCTCAAGTTCATCTGGAAAACAAATTTTATGTGTAGGGAAAACTAAGAACATTATATAACTGTGGTGAGGTGTAGGGAGATAATAGGAGACTCTTAACAAATACCAAAATGTATTATAAAGAAACAATAATTAAAGTAGTGGGTAATGAGTATAGGAAGAGACAGAAAGGATATTAAAACCAAGTAGAAAACTTATTTTAGAAAAGACTCAAGTACACATAAGAATATAGCATGTGATTAAAGTATTGGGTTGGCCAAAAAGTTCATTATGTTTTTTCCATACAATGGCTTTAGTAGTGCTTAGTTGTCTTTAACTTCATTTGAAACAACTTAACAACTTTGGTAGATTGTATTGTGACACCTGTCATATCAGTGTGCTTTAAAAAAAAACATCAAAATCAGTGGATTTTCATGCAGACATTTTAATATTGAAGATGGAAGAAGATATGCAACTATTTCAGCATATTATGCTTTATTACTTTCAGAAAGGTAAAATGCAACTGAAACACAAAAAAAAAGATTTGTGCAGTGTATGGAGAAGGTGCTATGACTGATCAAACATGTCAAAAGTAGTTTGTGAAGTTTCTTGATACTACTGACATTTTGGCCAAATAATTTTTTGCTATGGGGCTATCTGATTCACTGGGAGACGTTTAGCAGCACCTCTGGCCTCTACACACGAGAAGCCAATAGTGGCAGATAGCTGATATACTTAAAATATCCAAATCAATAAAATTCTTCATGAAATGAAAAATGTGTCTTTTATTTTACAGAAACAATAAATATTGGATTGATTTTTTGCCAACCCAATATTTTAAATCATTGAGCATGTGAAAGATGATCCAATAAATGGATCCATAAAAATGGATAAAGAAATAACTGAGTAATGACTTGGGGCAAAAGTTCAATTCCTATTCTATAGTATACAACAAAATAAATTCCAAGTAAATCAAATATTATGAAGTAAAATACACACTATAGAAGTTCTAGAAGTTGGACAATCAAATGAGATTGTATGTGTCGTGCTTGGCACACAGTGGACTCCATAACTTCTAACATCACGCACTTGAGTATATTGACCAACAGGTAAACTACATGGTTTTAGAAGGAGGGCAAGTTCCAAAGACAGGCACAAAGGTCATAGGTATTTCCCAAGAAATTCATTACCATTTATCCATTTTTATGTGACTGATTTCATAAGCACATTGAGATCCAGACTGGCCTATGCTCCATCATCTCTGAAGCAGATCTAGACAATATACATCATCTTACATTTCTACTTAGCTTTTCCTTTCTACTTACTAGACTTGTAGACTCTATAAGAATTCTGTAAGAAGGTATCTGAGTACGCAATTCTAAATTGGAGTTGAAAATATTCATATCAACTCATAACACACTTAAAAAACAACAGTGCATTCCTAGCTCTGATTCCAAAAAGATTTAGAAATAATGATAGTAGTAGATTATGTTCTCTACATATAATTTCTTATCTAAAGGAAGCGGTATACCTTCAGAGATTGCTAAATTCATGTCTAGGACATAGAATATACAAGACAAGCCTGGAAAATATGTGCTACAGATAAAAAGGAAACTGTCAAAGACTACTGGGGTCAGGAACCCATTTTCAGAAGCTCCTACTGGACAAAAGGAAATGGTTTGCTCAGCAGTAAGGATAATAACCACAATGGGTGGAGACACATCAAAATTGTTGCAAATCCAATATTTATCCTATCTTAACTGTATGAATTGTACCTTGCAGTAATCAAATAGTTAATGAAACTTTTCTTTAAAAAGGTATTCCAATTAATAAATAAGAGTTAATATTAGAACTAGCTATCACCATTTGAAATCCTTGATGAAATAATAAATCTAACCCTGACCAGTGTGGTGCATTTGGCTGGGCATTGTTCCTCAAAGCAAAGGGTTGCTGGTTCTATTCCCTGTCAGGGCATATGCCTGGGTTGTGGGTTCAATCCCTGGATGGGGTGTGTATGAGAGGCAGCAGACTGATGTTTCCCTATCTCTCTCCATCCTTTCCCCTCTCTCTAAAAATAAATAAATAAAATCTTCAGAAAGAAAAAGAAATAATGAATCTAGGAAGTGATTGGTAATGGCTGCTGCAACCATCCCTGAGAGACAGCTGGGCTCTTTCTTGCCCTTCCCCCAGCCATCTTGGCAGCTTCAGCATGCCATTGGTCGGTGGAGGTCCTGCACAGAAGGAAGGCAGGAAGATGGTGACTGAAAAAAAGACAAAAAGTCACTGGAGTCAACTCTCACCTCCAATTCATTGTAAAAAGTGAACAGCCAAAAACACACAATGGCGAAAAGAAAGTCTCTTTAACAAATGGTGCTGGGAAAATTGGAAAACCACATGCAAAAAAAAAAAAAGAAACCAGATTACAGCTTGTCCCCCTGTACAAAAATTCATTCAAAATTGATCAAAGACTTAAATATAAGCTCTGAAATAATAGAGTACATAGAAGAAACATAGCTACTAACTTATGGACCTTGGTTGTAGTGGACATTTTATGAATTTGACCCCAAATGCAATGGAAGTAAAGGCAAGAGTAAATGAATGGGACTATATCAAACTAAAAAGTTTCTGCACAGCAAAGAAGCTGACAACAACAAAAAAAAGCAACCAAGTGAGTGATAGATGTTATTTGCAAACAACAGCACAGACAAGGGGTTAATATCCAAAATATATAGAAAGCTCATACAATTCAACACCAAACAAACAGATAATCCAACTGAAAAATGGTCAGAGGCCTGAACAGACACCTCTCCCAAGAAGACATAGAAATGGCTATCAGATATACGAGAAGATGTTCAACCTCACTAACTATTAGGGAAATGTTAAACTACCTGTTAGAATGGCCATTATCAACAAGACAAGTAATAAGTGCTGGAGAGGTTGTAGGGAAGAAAGAACCGTCTTTCACTGCTAGAAGGAATGTTAACTAGTACACCACTATGGAATACTGGCAACTCCTCAAAAAACTAAAAATAAGAGTTACAATAAGATCCAGCAATCCATCCTCTGGGTATCTACCTGAAAAACTAGAAAACATTTATTCGCAACAACTGAGGCACAGCAGTCAGGGCTGTATTATTTTCCATACAAACAAATGTAAACCTACTTTTGCTCTACCCTGTATAATAAAATATCATAAAAATGGATAAAGAAACTTGTTTCCCAACCTTGGAGCTTTTGATTTACTAGGTGTGGGGTACAGTCCAGTGATTCATGTTTAAAAAGAAACAAACACAAAATAAACTCTAAGGCAACTCTGATGCAGACTGCTGATACAGGACCATCAACCCAGCCCATAGCCACCTCAGAAATGTCAGTGAACACGAAGGAAATAACGCAATAAATACTTGTCGTGACTTACGGTGACACCGTTTCCCATCAGAAAGCAGAACAAACCCTACAGGGCATGTGCAATAATAGGATCCAGCGATGTTTTCACACCCAAGAGTACAGCCATGATTCCAAAAGGCACATTCATTGACATCTACACAATGACAACAGCAAAACACAGATGGTTACTTTTGAAAATAAACTGTAGTATCCGTAATAAGTCAGCCCCAAATAGTTCTCACTTATATCTGCTGTACCTGACCATGGAAAAGCTCTATTTGCTACTCTAGCAAAGGGTGAGAATAAGTCAGTTCAATTACCATGAAAGTCATTTTTATTCTGTCATAGTTTAAACTTTCAAATATAGAATTACCCTTGAGAAAAAAATAGTACAATTTCCCCTGAAAAGATATAGCAACTTAAAGCCAGCTAAGGCAGAACTGTTGACTGTTCTTGACAAGAATAGAACATTCCTGCTCTGCTGACAGAGAGGGAGTAGAACATTCAGCCTCTCAAAGATGACAGGAGCCCTCACCTGAAGGTGGGCACACTCTGCAGCTTCCTTCTGGCTGACACCCAGCCTTTCAGGTCACTGTCCTATGGGATGGCTCCCTCTGACTAGTCCCAGGTAAGCAGGGGACTATACTTAATGTGTAGGTGTCACATTTACCTAATATCTCACCCCAATTACTTCCACTGGATTCTTGTCATCAGTAGCTTACTGGAGAAAGGACCCGTGTTCGTGCTGGGTTCATTAACTGTGGCCTGGAGTCTCAAATAGGAGGAGCCCAGATGGCCAGCCTGCTTCCCAATATCTCCAGATTCGCACTAGACCTCCTTGGGATAAGATGTGGCGTCACATACTCTTTGAGAATATTGACAGCTATGGAACTGCTTCCCTAAAATATTTGAAAATACTGACATTTTGCACACAGTCAAACCCACGGAGGTCCATGGAGTCCACTTTAGAGAAACCCTGTCTAATGTTAACCTCTGAGTAGCCTCTGAAAGCAGTTGATCCAAGAATTGAAGATACAAAAAAGACCTGAAAGTATTACAAAGGCTTTTAAAACATGGGGAATGGGGCAGGGCTGGCTGGTGTGGCTCAGTGGATTAAGTGCTGGCCTGTGAACCGTGAACCAAAGGGCTGCTGGTTCATTCCCAGCCTAGGACACAAGCCTGGGTTGCAGGCCAGGACCCCAATAGGGGTCATCCTAAAAACACTGAGGGAGGACAGATAAAATTGTTTTCTGGATAAAGAAGGTGAGGTATAAAACTGATTTCAAATTAAAGTTCTGGAGGGCCCACTAACGGGCGGCCGCGGTCATTCCTTCAGAGAGCCACCACACTTTACCTTCACAGTACTTTCCGTCCTGGCTTAAAGCATATCCCTCCGCACAAGTGCACAGATGGGACTTGGGGTCGCGCCCACACACGCTGCTTCTGCAGTTACCTTCCCTCAGCTTGCAGAGTTTCTGATCTAAAAGAGAAGAAGGTTTATTTGAAGTAAAGGTATGTTTTGACAGGGGAAAATACACAGTTCCACCATGGTTCTTAAGAAGGCTAATCTCCCTGCGACAGCATCAGGGGGCCACCGCTCTAGGGTCAGCCTGCTGTAGATGGATGCGACAGCATTCCAAAACCCATTTATTTTTCTAATTGTAAAAGAATATCTTTTCTTAACTGTAATATTTATGGGTCAGATCTACATATTTAGCTGTTTTTAGGATCATTATTTCAAGAACATCTTTCAGAATTAATAAATACCAGTGTGATAAGTCTTATCTCAAATGTCTGAGTTTATTGCTTCCAGCATTCCATGTTTTACAAAATAGCCCAGGGTACATGGTAAAATCTGCTTAATGAGGTAGCTTCTTGGGTTGAATTACCCAAATACAATGAACAACAAATGGCCAATGTGATGCATTTGATTATCAGAGCCAGAGTCAAGGGCTAATCTAGTAACACATATATCTCTGTTCAAATTGCACTCCTTACTCCATCATTTTTAATAATGATAAGACCTTTGTGAAAATGCTCTGAAAAGTACTGATATAAGCTTGAATCTGATGGCAGATCCCAGGATGCAGGTAGAAATGGAGGCCAGTGCTCTGGCAAGGGGTGACCTCAAGGGAAGCTTTCAAGTAAACAACAACAAAAATCCAGAAAGTCTGATTTGGACTTTTAGTGGCACCAAAGTACAATTGCTTTCTTGAGGCAACAAAAAATTGAACTTTTATTCTCCCTGTAAATATCCCTTATAAAAATCTTTCCAAACCCAGCATGATAGATGACCACTGGACTAAGAATCAGGAAAACCAAGCTCTTCCTTGGCTCTGCCTTTTACATTGAATCACTTTTCTTTTTGACCTCAGTTTCCTAATCCATGAAATTAAAGTGTTGAAATAGACATTCTCTGAGATCTCTAGCTTAAAAAATGTTTTTAATGGTTCTATACAGAATCAGATGTTAGTATATCCCTCTAAATTTATACCTGTAAAGATTCTCAGACTTTAATTACTATTTATGATATGTTAATTGAGATTCAAACTGACTAATGAAGAAAATAATTAGTATCTAGGGTATAGGAAATGCTCTTTTCTTCATCCAAATCCAATTTTTTGGGAGGGTGATACTGTTTTACCACCTTTCACTTGCCTTTAAGTGTGTTTTTATCATCATCATCACCATCGTCACCATCATCATCACAATTATGTATACTTGCCTTTATTCCATTAATGAATGAAACTCTGAGAATAAGGCATACGTATATACTCCATTCACATTTATAGTCCCACTGAGCACGGTGCCTTGTACAACACAGGTGTACTGCAGACACCTGGAACACATGTGCAAAAACCTGTGCCTATGCCACCTGCAACTAATTCCTTCATTTGGTTTCTCTCAATTTCCAGTCTGCCTTAGAGATAGAACTCAAACAGATGGTCAGACTATGCTAGCCCAGTACCCTCTCCACTGTACCATGCCACTGATGGTTTTAATGATCTTATTAATAACAAACATCACCCTTCAAAGATGAGCATAGGCAGGAAAGTAATCACTATTTTTGTCTAAATGTACTGATGTTGTGACCTGAATTCAGACACTAAACACTATAAAAGGTCATTTTAGGAAGTGGCAAAACACAGAGGATTGAGGGCTATATTTTTGTTTAATCACCTAATCTTCTGCTGTTCTTTAGCTTCAAATTAGGCCGAGGCTGGCATTCAGAATGCTTTTGCTGACCTCAGATAATACCCCTTCTCAGAGCCCGACAGTGGGGCTTAATTAGCTTTGAGATCAAATTAAAGCTCCTAATCATGGAGTTTAATGTCCACTACCAACTGTTCCTTCAGTAACTGTCTGACTAACACAGGCTCTCAGGAGCTTTACTACAGCCGGATGAATCTATAGATTTTACCCTGGCCCAGTTCTGAAACAGTGCGCATGGGATCCCTTATCCTCCACTGATCACACCTGCTTTCTGCTTGCCTCATCCACAAAACCTCCCTAGTCTCTTTCATTTGAACCCATTCGCTCTAATCATTCTTGTAACTAAATATTTAGCACCCCCAATATATAGCATATGCAATAAAAAATTTGAACATTTATAAAGCATTTACATGATCACATTTGATTTTCATAGCAAGCCCTTGAGCTATGTAGAGCAAATACTAACCTCCATTTTACTGATTAAAAAATAGAATCTTAAGGATCATGTACAGGTAATAAGGGGTAGGAATTGGACTCAAGCTCAAGGTTTCCAGTTGCAGACCCTATCTCTTTACCATGCATAACTCAGTTTACTGTGCTCACCTTATTGTGTTTTGCAGATATTGGGGCTTTTAATGAATTGAAGGTTTGTGGAAACCATGTGTTGAGCAAGCCTGTCAGTGCTGTTTTTTCAACAATTGCTCACTTCATGTCTCTTTGGCACATTTTGATAATTCTTACAGTATTTCAAGCTTTTTCATTATTATTATACTTGTTATATGATTTGTGATCGGTGACCTTTGATGTTACTATTTTAATTGTTTACAGTAAGACAGTGAACTTAATTGATAAATGTTGTTTGTGTTCTGGCTGCCTGGCTGAACTGGCTGTTCTTCATCTCCCTCCCTCCCCTTGGGCCACCCTGTTCCCTGAGACATAACAATATTGAAATTAGGCTAGTTAATATCCCTACAATGGCCTCACTTTAAAACAAAAGCTAGAAATGATTAAGCTTAGTGTGGAAGGTATGTCAAAAGCTGAGATGGACTGAAAGCTAGCCATCTTGTGCCAAATAGTTAGCCAGGTTGAGAATGCAAAGGAAGAATTCTTTTTTAATTGTATTCTGTTGATTATGCTATTACAGTTGTCCTCATTTTTTCCCCCTTTGCCTTCCTCCACAAGCACAACCCAACTCCCTCAGGCAATCCCTCCACCATTGTTCATGTCCATGGGTCATGCATGTAAGTTCCTTGGCTACTTCATTTCCTATACTGTATTTTATACCCACATGGCTATTCTATAACCACATATTTGTAGTTCTTAATCTCCTCACCTCTTCACCCTTTCCCCCACATACCCCTCCCAACTGGCAACCATCAAAATGCTGTCCATATCCATAATTCTGTCTCTGTTCTTCTCATTTGCTTAGTTTGTTTTTTAGATTCAATTGTTGATAGATATGTATTTATTGCCATTTTATTGTTCATAGTTTTGATCTTCTTTTTCTTAAATAAGCCCCTTTAACATTTCATATAATAATGGTTTGGTGATGATGAACACTTTTAGTTTTTTCTTGACTGGAAAACTCTTTATCTGCCCTTTGATTCTAAATGATAACTTTGCTGGGTAGAGCAATCTTGGCTTTAGGTCCCACCTTTTCATGATTTGAATATTTCTTGCCAATTCCTTCTAGCCAGAAAAGTTTCTTTTGAGAAATCAGCTAGAAGCCTTATGAGAACTCCCCTGTAGGTGACTAATTGAATTTCTCTTGCTGCTTTTAAGATTCTCTCTTTATTTCTGACCTTTGGTATTTTGATTATGTTGAGTCTTAATGTAACGGTTTGTGCAACATTGATGTAACCTGGCAGCCAAGGAAAGTGGACTGGAATGCACATGTGTGAACAATGACAACTTCACCGTACTAGTCAGTGGGGGTGAGCACGTATACTGTGTGGTCATTGCAGTCAAAATGACTGGGCAAGTAGAGCAATGAATCTGCATCAAATTTTGCATTAAGCTTGAACATTCCTCTATGGAAACTATTCAGATGATGCAGAAGACCTCAGCTATGGGCAACTAGTGACTGTCAGCTTCATCACAACAATGACAGTGCAACCACTCATTCATCACATCTTGTACAAAGTTTTTGGCAAAACATCAAATCACCTGGATGACGTACTCCCCTGCAGCCCAGATTTAGTGCAGTGCTACTTATGGATTCTCCTAAAGCTAAAGTCACCTCTGAAAGAGAAGAGATTTCAGACTGTTGATGAGACTCAGAGAAATACGATGGGGCAGCTGATGGTGATTGAGAGAACTGTGTGAGAACTTTGGAGACTGAGGCATCATTGTCCTATGTACAATGTTTCTGTATCTTGTATCTTCAATAAATGTCTCTATTTTTTATATTACATGGCTAGATACCCTCTGGGAAGACCTCATAAATTATATACAATGTGTTATATATAATATATACATATAAAATTATTACACATATAAATAATATATTTTTCTATAAGACCCAGAGCTATATTTTTGTTTTATTTATTTATTGTCTTTCTCATTAGTGAGTTCCTAAATCAATGACTTCCTCATGAAACCTCCCAAACTATATTATATAAAAGTTTCTTCTTTTAGAAAATAACAAGGAAAAAAATATAAGTATGATCATTTGGTGCTACTGGAAATCTATCTTAATTATAGTTTTAAAAAATCACTCTGCCCAAATTCATTCATCTATTTGGTATCCTTAATCATCTAAACCTTTCTAAAAATCAGAGAGAAAACAAATCAACAGCCTCCAAGCAGTTAAAGAAATGCTTTTGATTCTCAGAAGAGCCCCTCAGGCCCACTCAGTCATTTATGTTTTACACCCATTTACACCCATGACAGTTTGACCAGCCCATAGCACAAAAGAAAAATGCAAGGTGTGTATCGTTCACTCCCATTGTCACCACCCCAAAAACCACTGCATTCCCTGACAGCAGAAGTGGCTGCATGATGCCAGCTGTCCTTCTCATGACCCCAGACATAGCCTCAGCCCAGCTTCCAGACCTCCCAGGGCAGTTGCTGGGAGAGTGCAAGTGAGATGACTCTACTGTCCATCTCTCCCATGAGGACTGGAAGCCTCAAATTTGGGATCCTCCTAGAGAGAGATAGTGCAATTTGAGTGTCCAAATGATATTAACTGCAATGAATAAAAACATGTCAAATAGTTTCAAATCCATGAGTTTATAAAGATGCTTTGAGAAAGATCATCACAGCAAG